CTGCTGCTGCCATTGAATTGAATTAACACACAGGCAAAGCGACCAAAAGAGCAGCTGTAGCACCAGGGAAAAACTAACCCCCTGCCCATTTCGCCAGTCCGCCCCTGGAAACAGAAAAAATTTCGGTTACTTAGTTCTATTCTTAATATGGCCAAATCAAAGCCCTCTAGCCAAAGTTTAAAAATAAATACCCACCAACAAATAATTAGCCATAAAAAAATTATTGTTACTCGGAAATACTGAGTTGTCACTGCTATCGTTTGGGCACTTGAGCTAATTATCGACCAGCACCTGGAGATAATCTACCAAATAATTGTCAAACTTAACTAAATTTATTTACTTTTAAAGCATAAAATATATAGCATGGAAAATAATTAAACAGAACATTATAAATTATGTTCATTACTAGCTAGACTTGATAGCATTTTTCAATCCTTTTCCTACAACTAGATTGTTTAATTTTGTGAATAAAGATGTTTTAGTTTTACATTTAAGTTCATTTCCCTTCTTATTTGCATCATAAATAAATTTTACTGAATTATCCAAATTAATATCATATGTGAATTTGATCCATACTGAAATCAATCGACATACAACATGCCTAATTTAATTTTTCCCCAAACCCCTTTTCATGTCGCAATCTTCGGCCATTTCTTATCGCCATACAAAATATGTAGTACAAATAATGTCGACAATTTTGATTTTCTGGTCTATCGGATGGCTACCGGTATTCAGCGTAATCTATAGAATAGAAAATAAAAATAAAATAAACAAAAAGAAAAAAACAGTAGCCAAAACGTTGCTATTAAGATAACACAAATATGTGCATACGAGTATCTGGGTAAATATTTAAATCGCGCTCGGCACTCTGTTGTGTGGTTGTGGTGTTGTCTGTGACGGCGACATAATTTTCCAAAAGGTAAACAAACAAAAAAGAGACACACGAACGGCTCAAACAGATCAAAGATGTTCGATAAGGACTTGAAAACTTCTTCCGGGGAGACAGTTAACAAGATTAAGAAATCGTTGCCCAGGCGCCAGCTGAGACATTTTCTAATGCCCCATACGAGGTTCACATATCTGACTCAGACAGCCTGCCAGATTTATTTTCAAAATTTTGAAACCCTTTGTCGAACAATTTTCATGTGTGTTAGACATCGTGACTAATAAGCCGCGGGACGTCTGCTATGCCCATACAAAACTTTCAATTAAGCTGGAAAACTTGACTTTTGCTTCGTGGTCTTTGTGGCTTCGTCTTTGGTTTTGGATTCTTTTTTTGGGGAACGATGATATGTAGATACAATTATGAGAATTTGGCTTTTGTGCATTTCACGATTCGTGTTTGAAATGTAGATACCAAGATACGACTGCATCATCGCATGACATGTGGAAAAAGTCACGGGTTGACAGGCGGCCAATAAAACTGACAGAATGAATGGACATGGCTCGTGGATTTTCGACGGGATTATGCCAGTTTAGTCAAGTCAGTGAGAAGGAGAGAGTCCCAGAATGCGGACCCCGAAATGCCAAAGAGTGTTGACTGTGCCTAATTAGCTGCGGGGTCAACGTGAACCCTCCCCCGAAAAAAGGGTTCTCCGACGCCGAGATTGCCAACTCAATTAGTGCCGACTGACCTCTGGTCAGAGAAGCCGAACATCTGTCCCGATCGATGTACAGCCTCGTCGTCGTCTCTATCGATTGCAAAATATTATGGGCCATATTGGCACTTTCCTATTGGGGGCCATAAATTACAGCCAGGTGATCAATCAAATCGTCACCAGAGCCACCGATCGTCAGCATATTTTGGGGCTGCTTTTGTGCACTTTTATGGCCCCAGATTATGGGCCAGCAGAATCGGTTCTCGAAAGTTTCGCCACATGACGTTGATGTTGATGTTGTTGTGTTTAATCAACAATTAAAACAATTTACTTTTAATTGAAATATAATTTTCTATTTGCACTCGAATTAAATATTATTATCAATTGAGCCGTCGGCCAGACAGCGTTCCACGCACTACGCTCCGCTCGGGTACGGTCTCCGGTCTCTGGGCTACGGGCTCAGGCCCACTTAATCGCCCCGAAACGGACCCCATGTAATGCTACCCGGGCCCCCAGATTGCCAGTGTGTGTACGAGTGGGGATCTCCGTAAAGTGGCAGTGGCGCCTACATAATAGAAATGATAATATCATTATATCATATCAAAATGGCCGTTCTCGGGCGTATGACTCACGACGGCAAAGAACTGTACGTGGAGCAAAGAATTCAAGGACAACTAGTTGGTTAATGCAACTGATTTCTGGTGAAGAATAAAAAATTGAGAAAGAGTTTCAGAATAATATTAAAACAAAGAATCTGTTCATTAGAACTTCTAGAAATACCCAACGGGCAGATAAGTGCTAACACCTTTAACACCTTTAAACATCCCTTGACTTCTTCTGCTAGAAATAATTTATAAATTCAATTAACTTACTTCAATAATTTATCTTATTCTTTAAATCAATAATCACCTTGTTCGACCTGGTTAAGACAATCACAGCTGACTGTGTGCCTTGCCCAGATTCACGTCCTCAGCTTTTCACACGGGAATTGGTGGTGATGCAAGGGAAGATATGCAAAAGTCAACAAGCGTTTGACTGAGCTAAACCTGCAATTGTAATTACCGCTAGTTGAGATGTTATCAAATTACATTGTGGCGCCTCTGGCTGTTGCACTCCTTCCCCTCTTTGGAGGAGGGTTCCGCTGCAACGCGACTCTGGCTGTTTACATTGATTGTCAACAGTGTCACTTGAGCGCCATGGTGCCAGCCCTCTGGCACACCCACCCCCTCTGGGAGATGGCCTTCAAGGGGGAGAATGGAGTTCCCTACTTTCCACTCTTCGTTCGGAGCAGCACTGAAGTGGAAGCAAGCCCCGATAATGCTCTCTAAAACTAATATTACAAAGTAGATACCGTTTGGCGCCGGACAAAAGCGACAGTGCCGCCAACTGGCCGCGACATGTTTGACAACCCGAGCGACACCACCAGTGGCTGAGGCAGCCGTGCCACTAACAGAGGCCGCACCGTGCCACAGTGGAGACAGAAATGAAAACAGATATATCTATATTTTATGTAAAGAATTATGAGGGTTTTTTGCCCATAAGGGATTCTATCTGTAGCCTTACATTTAACTGCAAACTTAAAGAAGACTTATGTATATTTTGATTTGTGAATCATAAAAAATATTTAAAATAATAACTGAAAAACCTCAACAATAATTTAAAGGAAAAAACGAATGGCATCTTGGCCTTATTTCCTTCCGTGTAATGGATATAATTTACACCACTGTGCATTGATTGGCGGCAACATATTGATAACCTAACCGGAATGCAGTAACTCTCAACTGTCGCAGTAGCTGCTGCTGCTGCTATTAATGCTACCGTGAATGTGAACGGAAACGTGAAGGTGGTTGGGAATTCGACTTTGACTGTGACTTGCGACTGGCGGCTGCAACTGCTGCCGCCGCAACGAGTGTGTTTGGTTTTGTTTGCCGGAAAATTCAAATGTAGCCCAAGCCACTCTACGCGGTAATCCTGCGGCTTGTTTTCTTAGACATTCCTGTGTGCATTACGATAGGAGGCTAGGCAGCCAGCCCGACATCCACTTATCGATCGCTCCGCGCAAACATTTCCCAAATCCTCGAAAGGTGCGCGCCAGCTACTGTGCGGATATGGCGGGCTGGATGCCAATTTGGGTATCAGTGGCACTTGGAGGAGCCGTCATAAATTCATCACTCATTCGGCTCTGTGAAACTTATTTATTGGTCGGTTGGCTCGGGGTTCTTGATTTATTGCACTCGCAGCGGCCAATTGCCTAAAAACTATTAAAACAACTCGATAACTAAACGGGCTCGACCAGTAGTAGTATTAATATTGCCACCGATCGGCGTCTTTTTAACTTCGGAAATGGTTAATCATCGTCAGGGAGCTCTTGAGGTTCAGTTACGATGGCCGCATAATGCTTATTAATTGATTTATGCTGAAGAAGTTTTCATTTAGATTTATGACTGTGTGAAAAGGTTTTTTATGGGCTTTTAAAGTTGGATCCATAAATTAAATATCACTTTAATGGTATTTTATAAAGATATTACTTTCACACATTTTAAAACTTATTTATATTTTTCTTTACCTAATAAATTGGTTCACTTTTCAATAATTTTGTATACTATTCTTTACCTTTAGAAAATAATGTTCCAAGTAATTTTTAAATGGAAATCCTCACAACACATGTAAAGAACTGCAATTATCCGCTTTTTGTGTTGAAGGTAGAATTTCTTCCAGACTAAATACAAAATCCAAATCCTAGACAAACCCACAAATATCATAATTCCCGTACCTCCCTCCAAGCAAAGTGTGAGTTTAAGTCAGAGCCAGAGGATATCAGTTAGCGAGCCGAATGCCCGCTGTCAGGATAATCCCTATATTTTCAAACAAACCTATTGGCCGCATTAAATCCTTCTATGGAAAGGCAAACGGCCAAAAGGAATTATTTTCATCATCGTCGGCTTTAGCCACGGGGCGCATGTCAAATTATGAATAAAATGCAAAATCACGCAAAACAAACCAAAAGTCAAAAGTTAAAGATACAGAGAGATGAGGGAGAGTAAAGGGAAGGAAAGGAAGAGGATCGAAACTCTCACAATGATTAGCTGCGACAGCTAAAGATCAACCCAAGGGATCGGTCGGATCTTCTTGAAACCACAACAAATACAGAAAAACAAGGATTACACTACAAATAAAAATATGATATGATATATAAAATATTATATATTCGTAATCAAATCTCTGAAATAAGGATTACACTGATATATTATATTATATATAAGTACTATATGTTTAAGTTGAAAGATTTAACTTGAAACTTACGTTCAACAAATCTAGCATTGCAATTTATATTAAGAATTATAAAGACATAAATTTCCCCAAGTGTACTTATACTCACGCCCCTCTGCCTTTCCTTTGCAGCTCCTAAACTACCTGCCAGCGGAATTGCCAGCATCCACGACTACCAAATGAACGGGCAGCTGGACATGTGCCGCGGTGGTGGTAACGGCGGCGGCAACGGTGTCGTCACCAGCTCTGTTGGTGTGGGCGGCAACGGATCCTCTGGGATCGGCAATGTCCTGGCCGTGCAAAACTCCCTGATGCTGGCAAACAATGGATCGCCCGGGAGCGCTCATCCCAACGGATTGGGCGTCGGCGTGGCAATGGGCAATGGGTCCGGAGGGGGCCTGAGCAGCTGCAGCCTCTCCAGTAGCACCAACAATTCCGGCCGGACAAACTTCACCAACAAGCAGCTGACGGAGTTGGAAAAGGAGTTCCACTTTAACCGCTACTTGACGCGGGCGCGACGCATTGAAATCGCCAATACACTGCTGCTAAACGAAACTCAGGTAATGATTACAATAGTATAACCTTTTTAAATCTTAGATAGGAAAAGTAAATGTTTAGTATTTAATGTAAATGGAAAGCAAATGCAATTCAAGGAAAAGAAATACAATTAAGTGACAAAATTTAACATAACTTTTAGCTTCAGAATGATTTAGTAAAACTTTTAATCCTTATTCTCTATAAGAAAGATTGAAAATAACATGTAGACTCGATGAAAGATAAATATGTATGCAAAAACTAAGGATTAATCCAAGCACCTTAGATTCGCGGCATCGTGTCTTGCTCTCCGTGTTGTCCTAGTTCGGTCTTACGGTCCAAGTCCTTGCTGGGTTGAAGACCGTTGGAGCTCCCACGAGTAGCTGAGGCCACTCTAAGAGACCATCGCCTGGGTGCCATAGGAGATGGTGCTGCTTTTCGTCTTGGAGTTGCCACAGCCACAGTAGGTGCTTTTGGAATTGAATTAACTGCAGCAGTAGCCTCTGCAGCGGCTTGTTGCAGCAGTAAATTCATCTTTTTGGCCTTTTTCGGCTTGCAATCTTTCAAATGCTTATTGAAGTGACGGTGGAGCAAGTGCTTCATCATTTTTTTGCCACAGGAGCTGCACTTAACAAACGCGTGGACCTCTAGTTTGTGGGCTTTGAGATTCTCCTTGGCCCTGCATGAGAATCTGCACATAGGACACTTGAAGCGCCGCCGCATCTGGTGCCACTTCATGTGGAACTTAAAGCGCGCCTCCTGGTTACTAGGGAATTGCTTGGCGCAGATCTGGCACTTCCAGGCCTTCGGCTCGTGATACAAATGAACGTCGTAAATGTCCAGATTATCCATACTGCCCTGCATAGTGCGATCGCGATGCATAGGCTTATTCAGCGGCGCGACATATAGCTCCAGCGATCTCATATAATCGAACTTTGCCAGAGTGTCCAGGCAGCTGCTTTTAAGCTTTAGCACCGTTTGAAACTCAGCAAGGCACGCGGTGCACATGTACTGCGGAAGTCCGTCCTCCCGGGCCACCTTTCGTAATTGCTTGGATTAACATTCAAGGCCATTGGAAAAGACCGATCCCACACTAACCTGCATTTTCCAAGCGGTTAACTGCTCTGCGATCTCGTCCATAGCGATTATGGGCTTCACCTGATCCGTGTCCGGGACAAGGGAAAACTTATTCCCGCAAGTGCGACAGGACTCCATTATATTGCTTTTATTCTTGGAAAATATTTGACAGACATTACAGCTTGCCACGAGTTTGCAGTGTTGAAAATGTTCTTAAAATTAACACTCAAAAACCAGGGCTGAATCTTTTCTGTACTGTACTTATATTAGGGCAGTTCTCCCTTTGTAATGGTAGAAAATCAAAATTAACGGAAAGTTAACCAGAGGTTAAGGCTTCAACACTATTTTATATACTCTTATGATGCTAAAAATATATAATGTTAAATATAAATCTTAAAAATACTTCTCAAGTAAGACCCTTATATGTGTGAACTTGTTGACAAATTTTCATCAAAAATGATATCAGTTTTGAAAGAGTTAAGAAACGTACCAATAGGAATGAAGAGGGATCTGCGGGTTTGGGAAACTTAACATAAAATAAATGGAGTCTTGTAAATTGCCAGACAACTTCATAGGGGTCATACATCCGTTGAACTATTCCTATGTTGTAATAGACAATAGTCAAAAGTTATGAAAGCATTTTGAATTAATAAGGATAAATTTTAAGAAAATTAAGAACCAAATAAAAATTAATTTAGTAAAGAATAATTTTCTGAAGCTTCTTTTATAACTTTATTAACTATTAAAACTTATAAACATTTAAATGTTTGCTTGCAGGTTAAAATCTGGTTTCAAAACCGACGCATGAAACAGAAAAAGCGAGTGAAGGAGGGCCTCATTCCGGCGGACATTTTGACGCAGCACTCGGCTCCCGTGATCAGCGAGAAGCCGCCTCAAACGCAACAACAACAGCAGCAGCAGCAAACTGAGTTGCAGATGAAGCCGCAGGCCAGCGATCTGGGCAGTAACGAGTTGTCCACAGCAGCAACATCGGCGGCAGCAGCACCATCATTGACGGCAGCAACCGCCAAGCAAAGTTGAATGCTTTTCGCTGCTGAACTTGTTATTGTTATTGCTATAGCTGTTGTTTTTGTTTTTATTGTTGTTGCCGCCAAAATATTGACGCATTTCGTTGTGATAAATTAATAGAAAATGCCCAGAAGATCAGAAAGAAATAAACTAAATAACTAAATAAATATAATGTCATATTTGTAGCAAATTAAAAATTAATATAAAACCATACAAAATCGGTAATCAAACGCTAGAAACTTGTGGAATCGAGGTGCCATATTCAATCTAGGGGCTGTAAATACTTAAACTTAATTTTCGCATTGCCGCAGCTGAAGTTCGTTAGACTAGCATAAACTAAACTCAGGGTTATATGAAAAATCAAAATAACTTAAAAGCACGCAGAGCAATTGACTAAACAAGATACTAAAACTCACAGAATCAAAAGTAAAATCCAAAATTTAAATGTTAAATAAAGAACTACATACTTACATACCACGTAGAACCCCAAGTGTACACCACCACTCGTCTGTAGTATTATTAGCTAAGTTATTCGTTTTGTGCTAGCGTGTAATAATCGGTAAAACAATCTTGATGTACGTCTGTATATTTAATCTAGTCCTAATTGTAACATAATTATAACTGTACAACACCTACATACATATATGAATAAACAATAAACAAAACCGATTGCAAATTGTTAATGAACAGTGTGTGGACAACTTATTACGAGAGTGGGTATTACAATAATGTTGGCGATCTCGAAAATTCGTGGCATATCACTGACAAATTATGCACACATTTTTATTATTTATTTTCGGTCCCAAATACACCCGATAAGCGAGGTAACATTTGGGGAATTCAAGGAATAACCTTCAAACCATATATATAATATAGGATATCTTGATTAATTGGAATGGAATGGTCAGAATACGAAATATGCAAATCTATCATGGCGTTGACAGACCTGGCTTGGGGATTACAGATCCATGCATCACATGTTTATGGAAAACTCGCATTTTTTCCGGGGATTTATTGATTTTATATTTTTGAGTAATTTCGCCGCCAAGAAAATTACCTAGCAAATTCATCAATCGACTTTGACCAAAACAGTTTTGCATACCTCTGATAGATAGGATTTTAAGACCACATTATAGATTGCAGGAACGTTGGAATCTCAGAAATTAACCAAGAATTTGTATCATGACTCATAGAATGAGAAAGACAACTGGTACAACAAACTGGTACTGAATGGTTAAAAAAATACTATACATATTCTATCAGGACACGACATATGTTTTTATTTTCCGTGCCTTGGTCGTAGTTTGGCTTTTGTTTTACTCTTTTTACGCATAAAGTCAACAATCCCATAAAACCTTTTAATTATGAAAGAATACTTTAATCGATTTAAATGTTGCATTTTAATAAAAATTAAAAATGTAATATCAAATTAAATAAGAAAAACATTTAAGGATTTAAGGATCTTTTGACATGCACTGCTTGCTTAACGGTTTTTACTTTAGGCCAACAAAAAACAATGTGACCATCTGCTGTTGAGTCGAAAATTAACTTAGTTTCTGAAGAATTGGTAGCATTATCGAAGCAGAAACAGACGGGTACACTTTCGCCTTCTTTGCATTTAATTTAAAAATAACACGAAATCCTAAAATATAAGAAAGCAACAATGTGGTTTGATGAGAGCCCCCGCATCCGCTTGGTTCCATTGGAGAATCCGCCTGAACTCATCCGCTACTCGATCCTGGCGACCAAGTTCGGCCGCATAATGATGGGCATTGTGGATATAAACAAAAATGAAGACGCAATTTGTTTGCTTTACTTCGTGGAGAAAAGCGACAAGGATACTTTGAAGGAACTGGGTCAGCGTTGGCCAAAGTCAGAGCTCCAGCAGGACGACAATCTTGTCCAGAGTGTGGCCAACAAACTCTTTGAAGCCGACAAGGAGAACAACGAAGCAACTCCAATTGCTATCCTGGGCACCGAATTCCAGCAGTCTGTGTGGTCGGCCTTGGTGGGTCTAAAAAGTGGGGAGACCTGCACCTATTCCCAACTGGCGGAACGCATGGGTCGTCCGAAAGCAGTGAGAGCCGTGGCCAACGCGGTGGCCAAGAACGAGGTAGCCATCCTAATCCCCTGCCACAGGATCGTGTCGCAAAACGGAGCCACCAAATACCACTGGGGCTCGTCCCTCAAGCAGCAGCTGCTCGCTTTCGAAAACTCTTTGGTCAATTAAAAATTGTTACTTGTGTCTTTATTGAAACTCAGCTCCGGACAACGATCTTTTTGTTGGGTGGTGGTGGTGGTAAGGAAATCGCTGTATCGGATCCTTCAAAAGAAAATGCGAACAGGCTCGAGATTGTGCACTTCCTACTTATAAATTGTACCTACAAAATAAGAGCGAAACCGTCTATTCCCGATGCAGCAGCACGAAAATGGCCAGAATGGAGAGGATGGCCCACTGCAAGGGGAGAGGATTGAAGGATTAGAAAAGAGGATAGGCGCTTGAGAGGGATGCCGACTCACCTTAACCTTTGGATATTCGTTCATGAAGATCGTAATGATGCCCACGTAGGGCAGGAAGCCCCTGGCCCGGCCCACAATATCCTTCTTGGTCAACCAAAGCTGATTGGGCGCATAGAGACCCCGATCGTCCACATTGTTGTTGTCGCCCTTGGTAAGGAACTTGACGGTGCCGTCCTCCCTGTTAAAAGAAGTAGGGATTAGTTTGTACGAACTCCAGCTTGGGTGCAACTCACTTTTCGTGCAGCTTGATCACGCGATGCACTATGGGTATGTCCCTGCCCTCCACCTTGAAAACGACGATCTCGCCGACACGCACCGGCTCCTCCTTGTAGTTGGTGAGGAAGAGAAGGTCGCCGCGGTGAAAAGCCGGCTCCATGCTGCCACTGAGAACCACCACAATGGGCGATTCGCTGCCGGTGACCACCATGAGACCCTTCCAAATCATCAGGGCCGAGGAGACGATCATGGCGAAGCTCAGCACCTGATACAGGGACTGCGGAATGGGGGAAAAGTGGGTCAGGATGCTACTCGAGACCCGGAAGGCGGTGCCGCGCTCACCTGACGCTTGTTCATTCTGTTGAAGTCGCCCAGCATCTCGTCGATCTGCAACATGCTGGCTACGCCCATGGCTGCGGCTGTGTGTTTGGGATTCTTCCTGCGGAGATTAACCTAGCTAAATGCAATTAAAAGGGCTTTAACAAAAGTCGTCGGCTTCGTCCACGAAGACAGAAAATTACAGACACGTATGTGGCAGTGTGGCCAGACGTGGCGCTAGGGGAATGCTAAAAAGTGGGTTTTTAGGATTGCCTTCACTCGGTCTCACTGTTTTAGTGCCTACTTTTATAGGCTTTGGGTAACTGGCTACTAAGGCTGACCTCTTTTTATTATGTGTTTATATTTATAATAAGAAGTAAGTAATATTTACTAAATATAGAGGGACTTAAAGTTCTCACTTTTATCAACTCTAGTTCAAGTTTTCAAATATAAAATTATCTCAGTATAAGTTTCCCTATATTTTTTTAAAAAATACCTTACATACTTATGATTCAAATATAATTTATTAAATTTATACATTTATAGTGTTATTTCATTTTGTTGAAATGATTCCTGTTATATAAATATATAAACATTTCAATAGAATATGTGTTAATTGTTCTTATCATATATATAGGCTTACCTTTGGCAAAAATAAGCCCCGATATTTCTAGCTCTTTTTTTTTTTAAATGTAATTTTTGATGTCATGAATACAATTCTTCTAGATTCTTATTAAAGTATATTAAAATAAATAAATTAATATAAATATATACAAATAGTAAATATAATTTAAATGTCGTGAAATATGCCCGAAATAAGCTAAAACGCCATCACTGCTCATCACCAATAGTGTGACCCAAGCGGCGCGGCTCAAATCGCATTTGGTGTGACCGCATCCGAAAACGTGAAGTGAGCGCCATCGGTTGCGTTTTTTCGCGAAATAAAATAAGAGCAAATTAACTGACAGGATCAAAATGGGGGACAAGCTGCTGGACTCCACACAAATCATCAATGGGCTCGCTGTGATGCTGTCGTTTTTCGTCGGCTACCGATACGCCCTGAAGCGTGGAGACGCCAAGGACCTGTCTGCGGGCGAAGGAGCAAGTGCGGCGGTTGGAGCCGAAATGTCCAGTTCTATGGAAGCTCCAGTGGCCGATAAGGTGAGAAGGGATATAGTCTGAATGTCGGTACAAACACTACCTAGTGACCTTACCCATGTCCACACCTGGGTCACTGCACTTGGTAATAGTCTTAGGTCCCACAAATGCTCAATACATTTCAGCGCACCTACACTCACGGGCAGAATTGTAGAACTGCTAAATGTTTGTTGCCGGTTTAATATAATATTTAAATATTTATACAACTTTCGGAAAGACTTAACTCTGTTTTCAATCTTAAAATTAAAAACTAAATATATTTGTTGAACAATAATTTCTACAGAAATAACTTAAATTGGAAAAAATTTAGACAAATTGTGTATATCATCAATCCTTCGAGTGTAACTGACCACTTTCACCCATTCACAGGGCTACGGCGGCTTCAACGAGAACTTTAAGATGGTCCTTGTCGTCCGCAACGACCTAAAGATGGGCAAGGGAAAGATTGCCGCCCAGTGTGGCCACGGAGCTGTCGGCGCCTATCAGCGGGCAGTGGGACGGACGCCACGGTTGCTCCGTGCTTGGGAGAACTGCGGCTGCGCCAAGATCGCCGTGCGCGTGGAGAGCGAGGCGGAGCTAATGGCCATCAAGAAAGCAGCCGAGCGGCAACAGTTGAACACCTGCCTCATCCGCGATGCCGGACGCACTCAGATCGAGCCCAACTCCAAGACTGTGCTGGCCATTGGGCCGGCAGCCGCCGATGATATCGATCAGGTGACCGGCCACCTGAAACTGCTGTAAGATCTGCGCATTAAAGGAACTCTCGCAAGCCATGTAGTATCACTAATTCACTAAGTGCAACCCGACAATTCTCGAAGCAATAGGGCGCATGGGGTGGCGGTGGAAAGGTAGAGATGGCGTCATGCCACTGATGATGAGGCGGAGAGGATGACGACGACGACGACTGTGACATGCAAGTTAAGCTAAGATTTACGTTATCACGTTAACTGTGAACCGAGCTGTTACATATTAAATGATTGGCAGTCCCAGCCTGGAACTGCAAAGCTCTAATGCAAATGTGTTTTTATGGGCAAGTATTAATGGGGATTAGTGCGTTTTTTTAATTTTTAATTTTTATTTAATAAATTTCAGTAAATTAAACATCTTTGCGTACAAAACACTAACCACTTTAAACGTTTAATCATGATAGTTACAAATCAAAAGTAAACTGTCCCAGGTAGAGGGTTTTAATGAAATATTAAGCTTAAATATTAAAAAGGCATTACAAAATTACATTATTTTTATGGAGCTCACACTCTTGCGTAGTCAAAATAAAATGAACTTGGGTTCTAGAAAGTCCAAGCATAATCGTTGTCTCCCTGTGGCGTTTGCGGCGGCTGCTGCTGCATCTGATCCGGTTGCAGCGGTGTCATCACCTGCTGCTGCATCTGCATTTGCTCCATTCCCTGCGCCTGCTGGAAGTCCAGCTGCGGCTGCTGCTGGTAGTCCAGAGTTTGGGTCTCGTTGGGCGAATCCACCAGATACACCTGCGACTGCGATGGCTGGCCACCCAACCCCATTTGCTGCTGGTGATGCACGGCGTAGTCGCCGTCATCGAAGACTTCCTTCTTAATGCGCACCCGGGTGCCATCGTCTTCCTCGTCGCTCTCGGAGATGTCAAGGTCGTCGTCTATGCCCAAGCCGTTGTTCATGCCAGCTGTGGACATTTCCGCCGGCATCTGCATGGCCGCTGAATCGTCATCGAGCGAAGTTAGACTCATTCCAGCCGCAGAGGCGGCAGCTGCAGCAGCGGCACTTGTACTGGCCTCGGTGGAACCGTAGGCACCATTGTCATCCTGAACGTTGGACATGAAATCGGAAAAAGCGCCCTGCAGGCTGGTGGGTTCCCCGAGATTCTGCCGCGGCTTGTGCATGGCCAGGAAGTCGGAGGGATCGTAGTTCGGGTCCACATCCATGGATTCATCTGCAAGTTATCAAGAAATGTCATAAGCACAAGAGCTTAACCAGGTGAGAACCAATGGCGGATTGGGCTGGGGGGTGGGGACATGACATCGAGGGCACAACACAGAAGTTTAGAAATGGAAAATAGAGACCTTGCTGCTGTTGAGCGTAGTAGCCGGCGCCCACGCCACTCAACTGCACCATTGCTTCGGCCACCTGCTGGCTGTCATCCACGCCGATCGGCTCCTCTGCTCGGGTGATAGATCAGATAATATCACAAAAAGAATCCAGACAACGTCAGCGACCAAAAGTAGTTGGTTGATGATTAGTAAACAATTTCGAAACAAAGACCAGGGACCAAAATCAGTAAAAGTTATAATATAAAGGCATTAAAATTATTAAAATTAGGCTCATTTGTAGGAAATTCATAATACTAATTATCATAAAAATAGTTTTAATATTTTGTTTCTTGTAATATTTTGTAGATTCTTTTTAAAAACCCTACAAATTATTACTATATTCATTCCTTGACAGGCGCATTTTCTATACAAAAAAGACTCTAGGCCGAATGTACCCACCTGCCAACTGCTGCTCCTCGATGTCGATCTCTGTTTTGATATTCTTCGGATCAATATAGTCGTCGCCGTGGGCATGAATGCGTTCGCCCTGATCCAAAATGCTGGCCGCATTGTTCTCGTCTTCGGATACCTCCTGGAAGTCCTCTTCCTCGTCATCGTCTTCGTCGTCCGTCGAGCATTGCAGGTCTAATGGAAAACAAATTAATTTTAGAAAACCATCTAGAAGAACACTCACTGATTTGTGCATTACCAGGAACTGAAATAAGATGCAAGTTAAATTAAAATTAGAAAATTAGACTAGCTAAAACGTAACTTTAAGCACATGCAACAATTTTGCCACTAAAAATGTTATTTAAAGTTAGTAACTATGCGTTAGTAGGTAATCAAATCTACAAGCTTTTGGAAGACCAAATAAAAATGGCAGTTAAGAAAAGCATATCATGGGTATCAATAAATTTTTGGTGTGATGTGTGTTTTAATCATTTGGATGCAGGTGAGTTCGTGTGCTGGCTCGTTGGCTTAGTTGGGCTCAGTCGGTGATTAGAGGCTTACCTTCATCCAGGAAGTAAGCTTGCGTGTGACTCATGTTTGAGGCAAGGCTGTCCTTCCTCGGACGACCCCGACCACGCTTAACCGGATTCTGGGCTTTGACTACGAAAAAAAGGTAAAAGTTTTTGCAGTTCGCATGGCGCAAAAGATTTCAGTGGTTCGAGTATTGAGGGGAATCTTCGGAATATTTGATTACCTAATATATATTTTTCAATGAATATTTATTTATTTTAATGTTGCAATATCAGATGTGTTTTTAGATTTTTTTTTTTTAAATCGATTAACTGAAATTCGATTTATTTTTAGCTCTTAAATTTATCACAAAATATGTTCTTGTTGAAAACTTTTCAAAACTCCCTATATATAATTTCCCATTTACATATTTGATTGTTTTAACTTTGCAATATACGATTTGTTTTTAGAATTTTTAAGATAATAAATCGATTTACTGAAATTATATCTATTATCGATATATTTACATCTCTACTTTATTCATGCATTGCGTTGATGTTGGATGTTTTATTTTTTTGAACAGTTCCGATGTCTACATGAATATCTATATGACTAGTCAGATATTAATATCATCCGATGAGAATTCAAGTTCACACTACGCTGAAAAGTACTAGTTGGGGGATTAGTAAAAGCAGATAGATTCCTTCGGATTCGTGTCGACCATTACCACAGGGCTCTAATTTCAGATATTTTTTATATTTTGTTGTTTTCGAAATGGAGAAGGAGGAAGCGTGATCAATACCAATAGTTTCATAGGTTCCAGAAGAGAGATTAAATGTAAAAATGTATATGTATGCGACGTTAAGATATAGTTCCATAGATCCTCGCCCATTCTGGCGGTGGCGGTGTTAGTAGAAGAAAGAAGACTTTGGAACCACTTACCCTCCTCAACGGGATCCCGCTGCTTGCGGGGTCTACCTCTGCCGCGCTTCACCTCACCCGGACCTGGGGCCTGCTGAGTCTTTCGCGATAACGGCGCCGGATGTGACATACCAATTTCCGCCCCCATTCCGCGGTGAATGGAGTTAGGTGGCATGGCGGTGTGACCCTCAACGTCGATATAATCGTCGCCTGGGGAGCTACCTCGACTGCCACGTCCAAAGTCGTAGTCATCGTTGCCCCAAGCCTCATCGAATTCGGGTGCGTTCTCCCTGGCCCGCTCCTGGGTCTTGGCTATGTTTTCCTCCAGCTGGGCGCAGTGCTCCGCAAACTACGTTTAAATGTTGACTTGGTATCCAAAGATTTCAATACAGATCTCGTTTTACATACCTCTTCCAACTGCGATTGTCCGTACTCCAGCATCTTCTTGGCGAACTTCGTGTATCGGGAATCGCTGCCGTTGTACTGCTCGCAGTTGCTGGCAATCAACTCTATGTCGGCCAGGTACTCGGCTCGACTGTGGTAGTGATGGGCTGTGCGAAAAGTTAAGCTTAATATTTTTCAGAAGCTTTCCACTTGGATTAGATTACCTTCGATGTTCTTTCCGATCGTCTCCAGGTCCATCGGACGCTTGATGACAATGTAATAGTCCTTGACCTGCTTCTTGTTGACCGGCTTGAGGAAGGGCCAGCTTTCGGTTAGCTGCTTGATCTGCGTGTGCAGCTTGTCGAAAATGAAGGAGAGCGCCACCTGGTCGTCGTCATCCAGCAGTGGATTAATGGCCTTCTCCAGACGCATCAACTTGTCCTCTCGCTCGGCGAGCAGCTCGAAGCAACTGGAGAACATGCGCTGGGCGGCCACTGTGTAGGCGCTCTGCGATCCATTGTAGATCAGCGAGTTGTCCACAATCTGTTTCAGGTCTTCCAGGAACATCTCTCGACTCGTGTATCGCCGCTGCCGAATATACTCCCGCATGGTTTGCAGATCCATGGGCTTGGTCACGACGCGATAATAGTCGGGCACTCGTTTGGCACTGACCGGAAAGAGGAACGGCGATACATCTGGCATGGAGCGGAGTTCGTTGAGGATGAGCTCCAGGATGGACGAGAGCACCACCACTGGATCGGTGCGCCTCCGATTGGCGGTCTTGTTGTGCCTCTGCAGATAATCACAGTGGGGGTCGCCACCCACTCGGCGTTTCTTCTTACCCATCGCATCCCGGGGAACCTTCAGGGTTAGACCCGAGCTGGAGCCCATGCGACGCCTGCTGTCATCGCCTCCATGCCTCTTGAGCACTTTGCTACTTAGAGTCACCTTGGTTCCATCCACATTCACCAGATCGTCGTCGTCCATTCCCATCTCTTTCTCGCTCTGATCGTCCAGGTCGTCGACCAGCGAGGGATTCGACTGGGACAGGCTGCTCTGCATGCCCGTGTACAGCGGACAGGCCTTGTTGGTGCGCATGTGACCCACCTGGCCGCAGGCACCGCACTTGAGCTTCAGGTCCGGCTTCAGCTTGAACTTCTTGCGCGAGGGACTGACCTCCTTGTAACCACTGTCCCGTTCCTTGTGCGAGTGTCCACCAGAGCTCTTGGGGTCGCCCAACGAAGTGGGCATGCCACCCGGCTGCAGCTTCTGATTCTGGGCCAGCTGTGCTAGTCGCTCGCGCTCTTGGTTTCGCTTAATGCGGCGCAGCTGCTCCTGGATGCGCCGCTTCTCGCGTTTCATCTCCTCCTTCTGCTGCTCGTCCAGCGTGGCAAACTGCTTAATGAACTGCTCGTCCTTGGTGGTGCGGATCTTGATGTAGGCATCGATCACCTGCTGACGGCGCACCGTCTCCACGCGGGTGTATTCCTTGCCATCGTTACCCTTAAAGGTGCGCGTGATGCGCAGGATTCGACCCTGATTGTTGGTGGCCAGTGGTTGCTGAGATGGGTCATCCTTGGCTTTTGCGCCCTTGGAGCCCCCCTGACCTGCCCCGTCACCGTGCTCTTCGTCCAGCTGCCGTAGCAGCTCCTGGCGCTCCTGCTCTTCGCGCTCCAGTGACAGTTGGGTCGATGTCTTCTTGTTCGAGAGCATGTTTTCCAGGTTCTTGCCGAGCTCCTCGAGGTCTGATTCCTCAGAGGCCGAGGACTCCGCCTCGTCGGTGGACAGCACCTCCGAGCTGGCTAACACTCGGTTTTGCAGATCGAAGATGCGCTGGCACTCCTCCTTGTAGCGCTCCTGGTGCTCCGCAATGGAGAAGCGGTTGCCGCGAGAGAACTTGTCCATCCCCTCCTCGCCAGCCTTTGCCTTCTCCGTGGACAGGGTGCGCACCACATCGATGACCTCCCAACGCGACAGCTTCTTGATCTCCTCCTCCGGCACCTTGAACTTTCGCAACAGCTCTTTGGCCCGCTGCAGCGGCAATCGTCGCAGATCGGCATCTGTTCCAGTCACCGAACGTTTCGGTTGCGACTCCTGCTCCTCCTTGGTTTGCTGTGAGATCGCAGAACATAATTTATGTTAGTTTAGGAAATACTGTGTGGAATTAGGATCTCACCGTGGGCTTGTTGGGCACTCGAACGTAGGAGAATCCTTCACCGCAGCCCGTGGGATCTGCGGGCCCACTCAACTGCAGCAAGCACTTGCCCCGCATGGCTTGGATATAGGCACGGGTGGTGTTCCAAGGAGCAACCTTTACTTCGTCGTCAAGCTTTAGCTGTGCCTCCTCGTCGTCATCCTCTTGGGGGGCAAACAGAAACTTCTCGCCGTAGCCGGCATCCTGAAGGAAAAGATGTAAAATGTAATCCAATTTCCCCTGCGAAGCCCCTTCTCATCTCACTGACCTTTAATCGCTGTTCGGCCGCAATCATGCTAAAGTAGGCGCAACATTGCTCCGGTGAGACCATCGCCCGAATCTCCTCCTCCGAAGGAAGCCGGAATTCGGGCTTTATCACCCACCAATTGGAGTCCATGCCGGTGCGCTTAAAGTCGGCGCACTGCTTCAGCCGCTTGCGAATGCTGCTTTCCGAGTGAGCGGGGAAGGCCTTCTTGATGTCGTCCATTCGTATGCGTCGCGGATTGTCGCGACTCTTCCAGAACAGGCGGTAGATAAATACCTGAAGACGAATCATAGTTATGTAGAAATATCTAAAATAATAATAATAAATCAAAAGCAAACCTGTAGAAAATCGCGTGTAAAGTTGTTGGCCCGTTTGGAATTTGGACCCGGCACCTCGTACAGTGGACATTCCTGGCCGACCGTGAAGATGGCATTGACCGCCCGGATCCAGTAGTTGTTCCTGGTACGAATCACGAGGAAGTCGTTGTGCGACATCTTGTGCGGATAGATGGGCGCTCGATACATATTGTTCTCAATCGCCTGGATGCACTGGCCCGGATGAAGAATGCCCAGGAAGGGGCTGGTGTGGGCAAAGGCCACCTCGCCATAAACATAGTCCTGCGGCCCACTGTCCTTCTCGGCCTTGCGCTTGTAGTAGTTCTTGATCTTGGAGCACATGCCCACCTGGTTCATCAGCGGCGGATGCTCCTCGCAGAACTCGGTGAGCACGATGTCCCCGTCTTTGCCACTGAGATCCTCGGGATTTCGCATAAAGAAAACGTCACCGCCGCCGGAAGCGATACGCTCCACCTCGCGCTGCTTGGCCTTCTTCACGATGTGCTTCAGCAGCGGAAAGACGGCATGGTGCGAGACCTGAGCAAGTGGCCCATGTGAGTATTTCTTAAGGGGAGGACGGTGGAAAGATCGCAGCTTCATTTCACCCATGTGGGTGGGGACGAACGGAGCCCGTAGCTCCACCACTGGCGTTGAGTGCTGGATGAGATTGCCGCCGCCCACCTTGAGGCGCAGCGTGGGCTCCGTCTTGGGTGTATAATACCTGCGGGAATAGCAATAAATGAGTTTCTACTTATAATGAGATCCACGCCTCGCTTACGTATCGTTAGAGATATTAAACGGATCCCGGTCCGGACTCTTTGGCGGCGGTGGTGGAGCGTCCTCTGCCAGAACATTGATTACTCCCGCCTTGCCCAGCAGGATCTTGGACTTCTTGACGTGTGGATGCGGAATCTTGATCTTCGGTGGCGGACCCGTGTTCTTGTTGATCTTCGAGGGATCGATGTCGTCCGGTATGCCCAGAATAATGTTCTCATCGTTGGGATCCAGCGTTAGTACCTTCGGCTTGGGCACCTTGGTCATCTGCTGGGCATCCCAGATAACCTCCTCCTCCCACTTGTGATAGATGAGCTCCTCGTTCTCCACCGGGAATAAACTATACCAGGTGTCGTCGGGGGCCTCTGCTGGCTTTGCCTGGGCACTGAAATCGAGACGGACGGCATTGAGACCTTGGAAAAGGGAACGAATTTTCACTGAACTTACTTTTGCTGTGCTTTTTTGCTTGAGGCTGCGGATCCCTGTTTGGTGCTACCACCGCTGTTCCCCACCGGCAGAGCCGTCTTTCCCGGCTGGCTGAAGGCACCGGCTGTTCGTGAACCGCTGGAGGGGAGCCATCCAGCCGCGTTTGTCTTGGAGTTAAGCTTCTGCATCACCTTGGCTTTGATGTCATTGCCATCCCAGACCACGTCGTCCTCCCAGTGCAGTTGGGATACCATCAGAAATGCGTCATCCGCAATAGACGGTTCCATCTCTTCCTCCGGAATGCTGACTCGCCGCTCATCCTTCGGCTGCGTCTGTGCCGAAGAGGTTGCCGGTTTCGTCTTGAAGCCATAGTTGAATCCTTCACCAGAATCGGGCACATCCAGCATGTCGTACCAGATCTGAGCCGGGCCATAACGCCAGTCGGCCACCTTGGGCTTCTGGTCGCTGTTCTCCCCATTATCCGGTCCCTCCGGTCGCACATCCTCGCTATTAAGATCGCCCAACAGCTTGTCCTCGTCGTCGGACATGCACTCAGCCGGCGTTGGCTCCGAGGCATAGTGTAAGCTGAAACCGCGCTTTCGTGGTTCCTCAGTGTCGCTGGGCGAATCGGAACCACCGGTATTGGTCAGCTGCAACACAAAATCGTTGATTTAACCGTATACTCCTTTACTTTTGTATTCTCACCTTTTGATCCCTCGACTGGTTGCGTTTCCGGCGGCGTTTGCGTACATGCCGCCATATCTGGGGCAGACTCGTTGGCTTTCCAGGTCCAAAAAGCCGGGAGAAGCGTAAAACTTTCTGGGGACGAAAGTCCGGAAAAAGCTCTCGTACATCCACATTCTGGTATTTGGAAGGCAGAATATCAGCCAGCGGAGTGTCCAGCTTGCGATCCGCATCTAGTTGAGAAACCCAATTGTTTATTTTACTTCCTTTTTTTTTTGTTATTTACCTTTGGCATCATTGGTCTTGGCGTCGCCACTGGGACTGGTGGTGGCTTCAACTGGTTTGGCGGGCTCATCAGTGCCACTGCCAGCGCCGGAGCGCATGGGTGCACTTGGAGGTGGCATCAGCTCCTTGTCGTCTTTGGCTGCAAAAAGTACAAATCGAAAATTCAATTCCGGCCATCAGGATCTCGCTTTACTGCCTTGTTCTATGCACAGAAACACTTACTTAGCTTGGCCTCCACTTTGGAGGCGGGAATAGCGTCCTCCAAATCGTCAAAGGTGGACAATGCCTGCAGCGTCTCAGGCGGCGTGCGCGGGCAATCTTCGGACAATTCCGTGATGTCCGAATAGTCGATGGCATCGTCCTGAGCTCTGATCGCTCCATCCTCGTTATCTTCGCTTTTCACGCCCGCTTTCAGAGCATCGAAGGCACTCAGACCACTGCTCTCCCCAGTGTCTGATTTCTCAGTATCCTCGTCGTCGGACAAGAGTTCGGCCTCCTTGCGGTCAATTACCTCGAGCAGCATTGAGTCCAGACCCAGTCTAAAGACGATCCGAATGTATAACATGGCCTGTTTAAGAATAGCACATGTACTCACTTGCCCAGGGAGCTAATATTCTCCCGCAACTCTGCATCGAATCCGGTGCCCGCGCGGCCGCTATCGCCGTCATCATCGTCTAGCAGCCTGCCCTCGGAGTCGATGTTGCCGAAGAGTATGCCGGTTAAATCCATGCCCATGTCGGCGCCCCCATTGCCAATAGAGCCCTCGTCGTCGCTATTGTCCGATCCCGTGTCCATTTCCAATGTTTTTCAATGTTTACGCCGCTCAAATCAGAATTTCGTCAATTTTTCCATAAACTTTGATGCAGTGTGGCTGTTTGTCGGAAGGTACATAATCCTCAGATAAACAGTGGGACTTACCACTTCCTGCGGCTGGTCACACTTTGAAGACATTGGTGCTGCCAGACTAAAAAAAATTTCAAAACGTTGACAAAAGCTGAATGCTATGCTCAACGCCAAGATGAATCTGGCAACGCTGGTGGCTCAGAACCGGAAATTGATCGTGAAGAGTTCAAATATTACGTATACGTATCACAATAAAGCATCCAAATTCTCAACTTTCCATATGAGTACAATGAATGAATGAAAATGTGAACTTTGATAACAATTTAAATATAGGCTAATTCCTGGTATTTATATTGTCTACGCCTGGTCGCACGGCGTAAACGGGGAACCCCCAAAACAAAGATATTTCATAAATTTGATGTACACATGTATATTACATGTATACATATGTACATCCACTGTTTTAGTTTCTTGTTTTTGTAATGCTCAGTTCCTTTATTTGCGGTTAATACATACATATGTAATGTTGCTTAGTTATAAATATTTTAATAAACGTTGATGTAATCGGGCGAAGAACCGGTCCAGGGGCGGTGCAGGGGCTCAAGGGTAATATTTTTGGACTTCTTATAAATAGGCTGGTGGATATTTATATCTGGCGAGCACTTGCAGCCACCGAGGCAAGTACCAGGGAAGTAGCGGATCGCGCTTCTTCATCCCGTAGGGACACAGCTCCATGTAGCACCTATCATGCTTATCGCAATTCATGCACCTGCCACAGGAGCAGGAGAGACCCCTTTCGCACTGGCTTTCGATTTGAAATGTCATGCAGGTCTGGTTCAGTCGCCTGTAGCAATATAGCCGCGTCATACAGCCCTCAACTTCCACTGCAAAATAATTCTCTTTTCCAGGGCAATCCGATTCGACATCATCACCCGGGTCCTCGCTGCAATAGTCACTAGAAAAATAAAAAATCGATTAAAATCACTTTTCTGTTTCGTATTTCTTTCAAAGGAACAACTTACTAATCATTGCATATCGCCAAATGTAGAGCACAAACCACCATTAGCAGTTGGCCTAAACGGAACTGCACTTGGGACCGCATCTCAGCCTTCTCGTGTCAATTTAAGGTCCTGCGGCGACTTTTTATACCCGCAGACCCAAATTAGATTGTAATCTATGTGAATGCCTTAGCATAGATTAATTAATCAGTCCTGTGCACTGGAGCGTGAGAGCAGACTCGGTCTTGACCGACTCGGTTCTGGCCGTGAATTGCGTAGGTCAATGGTGAGGTTCTACCTTTCTTACGCTAGCTTGAAATAAGATTACAAAATAATTATATTACCTACCTTATAGAAAAGGAAGCTATTAATTACACAAAAGTGTGAATTATTTAATAAATAGTTTTAATTGTTCATTAATTGAAAAATATGTACATATTTATACATATACTTGGGCTTCACTGTATCTCGCTGTAAAAGTTTCGCATTTGAGACTGACATTTCCTATAATTTAAGAGAACGTTGAGGTCAATTAAACTAAGCTGAAGAATGTTAAGGGTGGGACTCATCGTTTAAGAATTGATTTTCCTCTGATTATACTTAAAAGTTTAAGGTTTAAGAAATTCTATTATCTAGGACAAAAACTCCATTCGACTTAATTTACCAATTTAACTCAAATGATATGGTTTATTAGAAATGGCTTCATAACACCTTAATATACATTTTTCATTGTGTTCTTCTTTGTTTATGACATTTTCATTTGTGAACATTTCACCTTAAAGTTGCTCAGCTCACTTTGAGTTATACCATACGCTTTATTTTGATTCAGGTGTACTATTTCCTGAATGACCAGTGCACGGTTATAGATCACCACAAGGTCGTGAAAGCGCTGGCTTCTGCAAGAATATAAAGGTAATTTCTGTTATTATTATGCATTATTTAAGCAGCCTTCATACGTACCCCGAAGGCATGTGTGCCTTAATCATAGTGCGATTGATTTCCCTTCCCAGCCAGGGACAAACGATCAATTGGGCGTAGTTGAATTCTGAGTAGTAGCTGAAGAAATCCTTCAAAATATTACGAACTTCTGATTCATTCAAGGCAACCGGCTTCATATTAAAGGAAGACAAGTCAAGCTTCACAAATTCGGTTTTCCAAGCTGCAAAATATGTATTGTATTAATATTCAAGGTCTCAATAAAATCATATTCAACTCACGGCCAAAGTTCGGCGAAAGGTCAGCTTGGAGATCCTTGATACTGGGCAGTTTGCCACGAATTTGAAGGAAAAATATGACCATCAGATTGAAGATGTACCCACGAAACTTGGTTAAACCATTTATCTGGGCCCAGCCTCGAAGATAAATTACCATGTAGCGAGCTGTAGGGAACAAAACTTGATAACTATCGTTCTTTTTTATATAAAAATGTGTTCATTATTCCCACCAATAGGCTGCAAATCAACGATGTAGTTAATCAGATTATTCTGATCAACGGTTATTTTTTTCGAGAAGCTAATGTCGCATTGAATATCCGAGTCAATGTGCCGAACTATGACTATGGGGCACACTCCTCCATGTGAATCAAGAAATTTCCAATTCCCAGAATCCATCTTAATGGAATTGATGATTTTCACCTGATTTTGAGACACCTTAGAGGTTGGATTTTCAGTGTAGGTTTCATTGCCATCTAGGTAATATGTAATAGAATAATAATATACTTAATGATATTCTATTTTTTTCCTGTTCATACATATGAAATTTTCACATACGAAAAAACCTTACACTAACAATACTTACCAAGGTGCACGTATATGTCCAGGTCGGAGTCAGCATCTGCTATTCCCATAATGCGAGACCCGAAGGCGTATATCGGGGTGTCAGGAAAGTTAGAGCGCAGTGTCTTCTTTAGATCACCTAATATCTGGTCATAACCGCGTTTTTTAATGGTAACAGCCTCGTCCACTTTTTTCTTTAGAGTTTCCCAGAAGTTAATCGAATCTTGCAACGGGTAAGAATTATAATATTTTTGTCATTTTTATAATTTTATAGTCATAATTAAATTTTATTTTAATTTGTTTGATTTTTAAAAAATGTAATTCAACTCACTGAGATCCATTTTATTTGGAAAGTTTTTGATTGTAGTCTCTCTGCGTAAAACTTTTGAAATGAACGTGGTTCCCCTGAATACGGCTTCTAAACAGTGTGGCCAGAACGTAAAATGGGTCCAAATTGGATTATTAAGAATCCATTTTTATCGATAGTTCTGAATGATATTTTGGGAAAATAAAAATATTCAAACCATGTTAATATGTAAGTAAAAAGTTTGAATTCTCAAATTACAAAAAGGGGAAAAAATGTTGAAAACACATATTTTTCTGAAAAAAATGGAGAATAAGGGAATTGTTATTTTGCAAGAAATCCAATGCCTGAAAAAACAAGTTTTTATTTGCTCATAAGAGACTCGGAGAATATTTTTAGGAATCTGGTTAAATTTTGAGCCCATTATAGATTTAGAAATGAAAGAAAGTCGTATCAAGAAAATAAGAAAAACAATGCACGATAAGGTTTGTGCACAATCGCTAGCCTTTTATTTTTATATTAAATCGACATCTCTATTTAGTATTCATTTTCATATCCTTGCATTTTGCCTTAAAGGAGAGTAGATCATATTGTGCGATTGGAAATGCCTTATTCTGATTTAAATGAATTATGTCCTGTACGATAATTGCATGGCAATCGGCCACGTAAAGGCGGTCATAGCATCTGCAAAAATAGAAGGGTTACTTCTTCATGTCTTTCAGGCAGTCCCAATACGTACCTCTTAGGCATGCATTCCTGCATTACATAGCGAAGGCGTACCTTTCCCAGCCAGGGACAAACGACAAACCGGGCATAGTTGAATTCTGAGTAGTAGTCAAAGAAATCTTTCAAACGATGACGAACTTCTGATCCATTCAAAGCAACAGTCTTCATATTAAAAGACGACAAGTCAAGCTTTACGAAATTGGTTTTCCAAGCTGTAAATATATTGGATAAATGTGTACGTAATGTTTCGATAAAAACATGTACAACTTACGCCCAAAGTTCGGCGGAAGGTTAGCTTGGAGATTCTCGATACTGGGCAGTTCGCCACAAATTTGAAGGAAATATATCACCATCAGGATAAATATGTGTCCGCGAAACTTAGTTAAACCATATTTCTGGGCCCAGCCTCGAAGGTAAATTACCATGTAGCGAGCTGTAGGGAACACAACTTGGTAACAATCGTTCTTTTTATACCCTTGCAGGGTATTATAATTTCAGTCAGAAGTTTGCAACGCAGTGAAGGAGACGTTTCCGACCCTATAAAGTATATATATTCTTGATCAGCATCAACAGCCGAGTCGATCTAGCCATGTCCGTCTGTCCGTCTGTCCGTCTGTCCGTCTGTCCGTCTGTCTGTCTGTCCGTCTGTCCGTCTGTCTGTTTCTACGCAAACTAGTCCCTCAGTTTTAAAGCTATCTGAATAAAACTTTGCATATAGTCTTCTATATGCTCTCACTGCTATATATGTCGGAACGGGCCGGATCGGACGACTATATCATATAGCTGCCATACAAATGTTCGATACATTTGTAAAAAAAAATTATAACTTTGCTGTTTTTCAACATTTTTGCACCATTTTATAGATATGGCTATTTTATATTATTTTAGAATTTTGGTAAAAATTTTATGAAAATCGGACGACTATATGATATAGCTGCCATAGGAACGATCGAGAAATAAATAGGAAAAAAAATTATAGCTTCGTTGTTTTTTATCGTATGTTTATCTACTCTGAGACATAAGCTTTTTTTATTATTCTAGAATTATGGTATAAATTTCATAAAAATCGGACAACTATATCATATAGCTGCCATAGGAGCGATCGGTAGATGTAGAGAAAATGTAAGGCTGGGAATGTAAAACGGTAACTGTCAAACTGTAAACATAATAAGTATAGGTAAAATGTAATGAAACTCTGCTTTGTGAGTGTTTTCAGCATTTAAATCTATAATATAAACATCGAAACCAATCTGCAAGGGTATACAAACTTCGGCTTGCCGAAGTTAGCTTCCTTTCTTGTTTAAATAATACAATGGTAATATTCTCACCAATAGGCTGCAAATCAAAGATGTAGTTAACCAGCATATTTTGATCAACGGATATCTTGTGTGAAAAGCTAATGTCACACAATATATTCGTAGCCTTGTGGCGGGCAACCACTAGGGGACACTTTCCGTCGACAGTTTTTACAAAAATCCATTTCGCTGAACTCATTTTGATGGCCTTGGCGATTTTCATCTGATTTGTCAACATTGTTGGGGTTGGTTTGTCGGTGTAAACGTCATTACCATCTTGAAACGATTAAAAAGGGAAAAAATTAAAATATTCTTGAATTTTTTTTCCTTTTTGTTGATGGCTCTACAAAATGCCTGCACTATTCCTATGTAAAATACATACAAGCATGCACATAAATATCCAGATCCGAGCCATCACTTGCCAGTCCCATAATCCGAGACCCGAAGGTGTATATCGGGGTGTCCGGAAAGTCAGAGGAAAGTGCCTTCTTCAGATCAGATATTATTTGGTCATGTCCCATCGTTGTAATAGCGATTGCCTTGTCGACTTCCTTCTTCAGACTGTCAAACAAATCAATCGAGTCTTTATGAAGAAAAATATTTATAATTAAATGGCTGTACATTCATCTTTTGATTTTAGAATAGGAACTTTCATATTAAAAGTCAAACAATCTTACCTAGATCCATTTTATTTGCAACTTGCTTGAAACAAACTTTACTTCGTACAACTTTTCATGGAAATGGGTATTCCAAAATATTTTTGTCCACTGTGACCAAAAGAAACAATTTGCTAAATTCTTCTGTCACTTTATGAGCTTTGCCTGATTATCGATATATTTTTTTTTGTCAAAAATTAATTGTATTTATGTATTTATATAATTTAGTATTAATTTTGACTCTTTTATTATTGTTTAAAATATATTTTCCTGTAATTTTGTTCTTAAATATGGTAATAACATAATTATTTTAATTTATTTATCTGAGGCACTAGAAAAAATATGCAGAAGGTTTGTGCACAATCGCTAGCTTTTTATTTTTATATTAAATCGACATCTCTATTTAGTATTCATTTTCATATCCTTGCATTTTGCCTTAAAGGAGCGTAGATCATGTTGTGCGATTGGAAATGCCTTATTCTGATTTAAATGCATCATGTCCTGTACGATAATTGCATGGCGATCGGACACGTAAAGGCAATAATAGCGCTGGCTTCTGCAAGAATAGAACGGTTACTTCTTCATGTCTTTTATGCAGTCCTCAAACATACCCTGAAGGCATGTGTGCCTGAATCATAGTGCGACGGAGTTCCTTTCCCAGCCAGGGACAAACGATTAATTGGGCATAGTTGAATTCTGAGTAGTAGCCAAAGAAATCTTTCAAAATATTACGAACTTCTGACTCATTCAAAGCAACAGTCTTCATATTAAAGGAAGACAAGCCAAGCTTTACGAAATTGGTTTTCCAAGCTGTAAATATATTGTATAAATGTGTATGTAATGTTCCAATAAAAACATGTACGACTTACGGCCAAAGTTCGGCGGAAGGTTAGCTTGGAGATCCTTGATACTGGGCAGTTTGCCACGAATCTGAAGGAAAAATATCACCATCAGGATAAATATGTGTCCGCGAAACTTGGTTAAACCATGTTTCTGGGCCCAGCCTCGAAGGTAAGTTACCATGTAGCGAGCTGTAGGGAACAAAACTTGGTTACAATCGTTATATTTTAAATAAAAAAAAGGGTAATATTCTTACCAATAGGCTGCAATTCAAAGATGTAGTTAACTAGATTGTTTTGATCAGCGGATATCTTTCTTGAAAAGCTAATGTCACACATTATATTCGTTGGCTTGTGCCGGACAACCACTAGGGGACACATTCCGTCGACAGTTCTTATAAAAATCCAATTCTCAGAACTCATTCTTATGGCATTGGCGATTTTCATCTGATTTGTCAACATTGTATGGGTTGGTTTGTCGGTGTAAACGTCATTACCATCTTGAAACGATTAAAAAGGATAAATATAATATAATAATATTCCTGAATTTGTTTCCTCTCCTAAAAATGCCTGCCCTATTCCTATGTAAAATACATACAAGCATGCACATAAATATCCAGATCCGAGCCATCACTTGCCAGTCCCATAATCCGAGACCCGAAGGTGTATATCGGGGTGTCCGGAAAGTCAGAGCAAAGTGCCTTCTTCAGATCAGATATTATTTGGTCATGTCCCATCGTTTTAATAGCGATTGCCTTGTCGACATCCTTCTTCAGACTGTCCCAGAAATAAATCGAGCCTTTATAAATAAAAACATTTTTAATTTAATTGGCTATACTTTTCATTTCTTTTGATTTTAAAATAGGAACTTTTATATTAAAAATTGAACAACCTTACCTAGATCCATTTTATTTGAAACTTCTTGATACAAATTTTACTGCATACAACTTTTTATGGAAATGGGTATTCCAAAATAGTTTTGTCCAGTGTGACCAAAAGAAACAATTTCCTAAATTCTTTGTTCAATTTATGAGCTTTGCCTGATTATCGATAATTTTTTTTCAAAAATTAGTTTGGAATAAAAATAACCGAAAATAACATAATTTTTTTGTGTTTACTGTTACAATATAATTATACAGATTTTACCATCTAAAGTACTAGAAAAAAAGGTTTATATACACACAACTGAAATTTATAAAGAGGACTTAAAATAAGTTTAAAATCACAACACAAGTCCTTGCACACTTTCTTTTAAGTATAACATGCTTTTAAACTGTCTATTTACTTTAGCGAGATTGCCGTTATCGTCGGCGTCAACCTCCCCTTATCATCCTAGCGGTTTGAGGAGGTCTCGCCCGTGCGACTGATAAGGTGTTCCCCGATTAGGCACAGATTATGGAGCGCAATGGGTATGGAGAATTGCCGAACCTTAGTATTTTTGCACCACCATCTCGAGCGGACAAACAACAGCAGCGAAACATGACCGGAGAAACAGTGATTTTAGCCTACTCTGGTGGCTTGGACACCAGCTGCATCCTCAAGTGGCTGCTGGACCAGCAGTACGAAGTAATCTGCGTTCTAGCTGATGTTGGCCAGAAGGAGGACTTTGTCGCCGCCGAAAAAAAAGCCCTCAAGATCGGAGCCAAGAAGGTAAGCTAGATGAGTTCCTTAACTCTCTAGATTTTGTGCTAACTGTGTACCTCAGGTGATCGTGGCCGATGTTAAGCAGTCGTTCGTTGAGGACTACATTTGGCCGGCCATCCAGATGGGTCTTGTCTACGAGGAGCGTTACCTGTTGGGTACCTCGCTGGCACGTCCATGCATCAGCGTGGCCTTAATGGAAGCGGCCCGCCAATGCGGAGCAAAATACCTGGCCCATGGAGCCACCGGCAAGGGCAACGACCAGGTGCGATTCGAGCTGTGTGCCTACGCCCTCAAGCCGGATCTTCAGGTGGGTTAGAACAGAAGATAAGCCAAGCCATGGCCAGATAATGTTGCCTTATCGCGGCGCAAGTCCAGCTATGCCGGCGTACTTCCCACATTTGTTTGTTTACTATTACCAATACTTTAATTTTTATTGATAAACTTTTATTATAACAATATAAAGTGCTGAACTTCGTCCTTTTCAGATCATCGCTCCCTGGCGGGATGTGGAGTTCTGCCGGCGGTTTCAGGGCCGCCAAGATCTCATCGCCTATGCCCAGGAGCACGGAATCGAGGTGAGCGCCAAGCCGGCTACACCCTGGAGCACTGATGCCAACATTATGCACATCAGCTACGAGTCTGGCGTTCTCGAGGATCCCAATACTGTGGCTCCGGGTAATCTCTACGAGATGACCGTTGATCCCCTAACAAAGGCGCCCCGAGACCCAGTTTGTGTGGTCATTGGATTTGACCACGGACTTCCCACCTCTGTGGAGGATTTGGCCGGCAGTCGGGTCTACACGAAGCCTCTGGAGATGCTGCAATTTCTGAACGAGCTGGGTGGATCGTACGGCATTGGACGGATTGACATTGTAGAGAATCGGTATGTGGGAATGAAGTCCCGTGGGGTGTATGAGACGCCCGGAGGCACTATTCTGTACGCAGCCCACCAGGACCTCGAGGTGTTTGCCCTGGACCGCGAGGTACTTCGCACCAAGCAGGTCCTGCGGGATCGAATGGCCGACTACGTGTACAACGGCTTCTGGTTCAGTCCGGAGGCCATCTATGCCCGCCGTTGCATTGAGATGGCCCAACAAAGGGTCTCTGGCCAGGTGACCATGGAACTGGCTCCAGGCTACTGTCGAGCTATCGCCCGCAAGGCTTCAAAGGATGGCGGAGCCCTCTACAATGAGCAGCTCGTTTCCATGGACGTCCACGGCGGTTATGTGCCCCAAGATGCTGGCGGTTTCATAGCCATCAATGCGGTCCGGATAAGGGAGCATGTCCGGGCATTCGGACCCTACGAAGTGCCCAAGCGGGCCAAATAAAAGATAAATAAATGCAATTTGAAAAATGGTTCTTCTTATGAATTTTGAATATTTATTAATTTTCGAATTATCACGCACATTTTGTTGGGACACTACATAATTTTACCATTTTATCATTAATAAATGATTGATATTTCTACAATATACTTAATATTATATAGTTATTTACTAAATATTTAAAATTACTAAATATTTTAGTGGTTTTACAATAAATTACAATTTCATTCAAGTATTTTTGAAAACAAATACAGATATTGAAACCGCATATTTATTTAAAATGTGACTGTCCAGTAGATGATTGTCATAATGGTAAACATACTCAGAGAAGCCCGATAAGCTTGATTACTGCAAGTAGAAAATATTACGCTTTGCTGATCAGGGTAGTAATGCGTAACAAACCTTCTTAAACTCTTATCACGTTTTTTCTGAATGGGAGGCACATTGTACGTGTATTGACCAAGTACATTTCCACCCGGGGCAAATCTCACCACCATGACAGCTGTTCCAGATCTGCAAATAAGTAAATAATGCTGGTAAAACTACTTTAAAATGTGTTATTAAATATTTGGATCAAAGGTCCAGGCCATTGGAATACCTCACCTGTAATTACTTACCCTAGCATGGCTTCTCCGTAACCCATGTACTCCGAAGACCGCCAAATCATTGCAGTAAATTCTTGAGCTTCTGCATCCATTATGTCATACCGGGCTCCATCGTACCATTTCTCAACACACAACCGTAAAGCATCCTCCTTAATGCCAAATGTGCAGATGTTTTCGGTGTATGAGCTATCTATTGGCTTTGAATGTGTAACTTTGCCCGATTTAGCTATATCCTGTGCAGTCAGAATTAGTTATTATGCTTGACTTTAAGTTCAATTCATACCTCTGCGTGTTGTTTGCAATTTTCGCTTAGTTTATCGTTCCAGATCAAAGGTCGGCATCCATGGAGTTTCCTCTTTGAATTGGTGTAATTCAATACCGCATTGGCGTTTGACGTCTCTGCAAGGATGCAATCCAACTGCAAAGAAAGCCAGTTTCGTAAACCCTAGGATATGCTATTTTTCTCGGAATACCTGGCCAGCAGCAAGCAACACAAATATCCAAATTCCTAATGAATTCATATAGAATTATTTGACTAACATTACTGATGTATAAAGAAGCGCCTACTTTGAATTATAGTGTATCAAGATATTCGCAATTTGAATCTATAGCCCAGACTTTCCAGAACAGCTTTTTCTTCTTAATTCCTAAGACCGTACTGTCAGTGGCAAATGTTTAATTTAACCTTCTGAATGGAAGTGATATATGTAATTTTCACTGCAATCAATTGGAGTAGTGTTTACCCAATAAATCTGACGACCAAACGAGTCGGCAGGGACACTTGTAAGGGGAGGCGAATACACAATTAATGAAATACTAGTATTCAAATATATATATGTACATACATATAACGTTTCCAATATTTGGCAGAGCCAAGAACAAACAAAAGACCAAAACACAAATGTCCCATGTTGGATTTCCCAATTGCATTAATCTTATTTCCGGAGTTGCTCGGGTCCGGCGAAAGATGAGCAAAACAAAAGATGCTTCCTCGCACATACATAAATGCAAAAGCAAATATTATTACAACAAATAAATAGAGACTCAGTTGTGATTGTATTTCAGACTGCCTGGATATTTATACGTCCGTCTGCATCTGTGTCCTGTGTGTAGGTAGGTAAGGAAGCAAGCATTGTTTATCTATCGACAGGAATTGATGATGGAAGTGAGTGCCGAGTGGCCATGACCTGGGAATGGTTCTGAGGACATAAGTCCAAGTGATGGAGATCTTTCAGCACAAAGCCGCATTCCCAAAGGACACCTTGCCTTACTATTGGTCTTGGCATGGCGAAAACTTATTTTTCTTATTTTCTTGGTTTTCGAAAAAAGAGCTCCACCCTATTTGCTTATTATTTTCTACACAAAAGATCTGGAATTTTAAAGTTCAAGTTTTATAATCAATGGCTGATGTCAGTGGCACATTGAACATGTGGTGAGGCTGCTCGAAAATGACCTGACAGAGGGGTGACTCAAACGCTAAACTAGGCAACCGCGGCACTGGACCAACTTAACTCAACTCGACTGAGCCCTCGTGCTGCCCATCTATCCGTCTAGCATTATCTGGGCATCCAAGCATCCATCAGAAGCGGGGACAATGTTGCTTTGTTGGTTGCGTTTGTTACCCGTGGCATACGATCAGAATCAGACAGCGTTGACGTTTCAACTTTGTCCTAAACTACGAAAATAGCAAAAAAGGGCTTTGGCTCTGGAACGAATATGGGCGAATGCACCGACCACCGCCATCGTCCCATAAATGCTGAAAAAGTTAAGCTCTCGGTTTTTGCGGGATTATTTGCGAGCGTTCAAAGGATGTCGTTAGTCCTTTGCGACTCGCAGGCGCAACTTTTGCGAGACCTTCGCTCTCTCCGGTTTTTGTGGGCCTTCTGTGTGTATGTCGCAGTTTTTTGCTGTTCTCTTTATTGAAGTTGATAAATTGAATCAAAGGTTAACTTTGCGAAAAGTGTGAAGTATGATTAACAAAGCAGCGGCGGAACTGGCGGAAGCGGCTTAAAGCGCTCATTTAAATGGCTGCTAATTTCGATATCCCTGCGGGCCAAATTGATTTAGTCAAACTGTAAACAAAACTCGCAAGAGCAGCGCTGAAATTCCCCAAGCTACTGGGACAGGATGCTAAAATAGAATTCCTTGTAATTGCAAAGAAAAACACGTTCTGTCTCTCTCCCAGGAGTTGGCTGAAAGCTGTCGGAGCTGGGCAACAACAGTCAGAAATTTATGGCCAACTGGAACTTGGAACCAGGAGAAAGGAGTCGGGAGCTTGGAGCCAGAGCCAGAGCCAGGATCCTGGCACGCCCAATACACTTCAGCAAACATAAATTTATTTATGAGCATGTGTCCGTTGCCTCCCTTTTTGCAAGGCGCACAGAGCGAGATAGTCCTTCCGCCAAAGCTCACAAATTGTTGGAGGGTGAATTTTAATTATTCTTCATTGTTTTGATAGCCACGCGTGCAGCTCCCCACTCTTCCATCGAAATCGTCCAGGATAGGGACAGCCATGGCTAACAGAATTGTCCTGACACTAAAAGTTGGCTTTCGGTTATTATAATCGGCTTCTGAAAAATATGTATAATAATATAATAGTAATAGTAATAATTATTTTATAAAACATAATATAGATCTGAGACAGAAGAGAAGTTCTGAAGCTGATTATACATCATTCATTATAATCAGATATCATTTTGTATGTCTTAAAACTTTTTCCGGTTGCACTTTGTTTTATTTAAAATGTGACGCCATTCCTCCTCTACATTCTCCGCGACAGTCTTGACCTCCTTTGAACGCTTTGATTTTAATTATCACGCAGTTGCATTCGCACAGCTGCGCTGTCTCCATGACTCCTGACTCCTGACATCCGAATGCCGACACCACCCTGGTCCGGAGTCCAGAGTCCGGAGGGCTCGAGTTGCTCCTTCGCGGCGCCAAAACTATCCGGCAAAAGGAATTTTATTATTGAAATTTGTTTGCGCGGGCTTTGTTGGAGTTGGTGGCTCTGCCATGGCCGCTGCCTGTGCTGGATGCATTCTCATTTTGTAATTAAGTGCAGACAGAAGTTGGAATCAGGTCACTCATACGCCCCATTGGCCGACGGTGCGACGCTGCGCTGTCCGTGAGAAAACTTAATTTTTCAAATGAATTTTTCCAACCCAGCAGCGGCGCGCAATGGCTTTTCAAATTATTACACTTGGCAGCCAAAAGGGAAGCCAATTTTTTTCACCAGTGGCAGCAGCTGCAGTTAATGTTGAGTAGCCAAGTTCTGGGGACAGGCGAAACTAATTAATTCGGGAATATCGCAGGTGGATCTAGGGGCTTTATCCACTTTTACACTTTTTTTTTTTGGTGCCTGTGCAGCAACATGATAATGTTTTTGAGCTACCTTCTGCGTAAATATGCAAATCGCAGTGCGAAACTTTTTGTGTGCAATTGAAATTGAGTTTTAAAGTTTCGAAATCCATTTTAATGCATTCCGCCCCCCCCCCCACCGCTTTTCCGCGCATGTAGTTCTCAAAGGGGGCCAAAGCCGGCGAGCACAAGGTAACTACAAAGCACCAGATACAATTTTCCAACAGAATGTTGCCCTGCCAACGACGGCACGTGGAACGTGGCCAGATTATGCTGTATTATCACCTGTAAATCCTTATTGGCAATCAAAACTTTGCCAGCGGCGCTGCGCCCTGACCCCTCCATCCAGCTTCCTCTCTATTTTTCGTTAGTATTTGTATTTGCTACTTTCGATGGATCCTGTAAAATCTGTGAAATCTGCGCATGCAGCCAAACTTTTAATTTTATTGGAAAACTTGTTCAGTTTTTTTCTTCGTTTCGGCATATTTTTATATCCCATTAAGGCACAAAGGATGGGCATCTGCAAGCTTGACCGAAATGGCAAGCTGTTTTTTATATAAAGTCACAAAAATAGTGGATGGTTTTTTGGGAAGTTGTATATTATATTTTTGTCTTTTAAACACTGTCATTCTTTTAGAAAATCAAAAACTATATTGATAATATTTTTTGTATAATATTTTTCTTATAATTAAATAACTCTAAAGGTGAATGTATAAAAATGACAGTTTTTCCTATAAAAACTAAAATTTATAGAAATTATAAAATGAAAAAGCTCTATATAAATATTTTTAGTTATGCTTGAATTCCCTGCAGCTTCAGGTCTTTATTGTGCAAAATAAAAAGGTATGAAGTTCGATTGTTTTTGGCTGCGCTTCAGTTGATGGCCCAAAGCAATTACCCGCGCATTATGCCGCTGACAGTGTGGCTTTGAGTGGCGGTTAAATGCCGCTTCGAATTATTTCGGCAACACCTCAACTGAGCATCACAAAGTTCCTTTGAAGGCGCCAAGAGCCCTCCCACATTTCGCTGTGTGTGAAAAATGCCACCTTGGTTCGCTCTCACCTTCCAGCTAATCACGGAGGGGACGAAGGGCGGACTGAGTTGACAGGATGGCAACCGCATCACACGGCACCGCAGCATATTTCCGTCACCGATTGCCTGCCGATTGGAACGAGCTTGCTGCCGGGCTGCAGGGCTGCTGGGCTGCCAGGTTGCCATTAAACTGCAAATCCGCAGTCGAGCAATTCTCGCATGTAATGCTGATGTCGACATTTTACTGCCGTTGCTGTTGTTGTTGCTGCTGTAGCTGTTGCTCCTGTGCCGTGCTGCAACTGGCATTGCTGCAGCTGCTGCTGATGCGGGCTCGTGTTTTGCCACAACAGCGCGCCAGTGCCAGTGGCAGTGGCAGTGCCAGTGCAGCGACACCTTCTGTGGCAACAAGGAAGCCGGAGCAGACATTTCACCCTTTTCCAGTAGAGCCCCATTCCCATTCCCATCCCCATCCCCATCTCCTGGCAACTGCAGCACTTAAGCATTGCATCGTTGCTGCTCCTTCTGCTGCGATCGGCAGCTGCTGCTGTTGTGGATTTTTGCATCGCCCTGCCAAAGAGGCCAGCGAGCGGAAGGGCACAGGACGAAGGCACAAGGACGAGCAGTGTTGGGGAACTGCAGCAGCAGCAGCCATAAAATCCTTTGCAATCAGTTGCATGCAACAAACACTTTGGTTCATGTTCCCACAGCGCCGGCTTTTGTGCAGTGAAAGAAAATGAATGGTTTTTATAAAATTGATAAGTGTCTCGGAATATTATTAAATAAAAGAGTAGTCGTTACTGGCTTTGAATTTTGATATAAGCCAATTTTGCTAACAATAGAATGATTACTATTCTCACCAAAGTTAAAGTACATTTATACACTTTTCTTAATAATTTTGTATTCTTTAAATATGCATTCCCTATTTTTCTTAGTGCTTATAAGGCTTTGGAGCTGCTTCAATGCAAGGGAATTGAACCAGGAATAAACACACAAGCTTGGACCCCGTAGAGGAGGCCACATTTACGTTTGTCTATTTGGGATTTCTTATCGTTGTTGCTGCGCGCAGCACACACACAGAGGCGGAAGGCTAACACACACTCACAGCATTACAAAACAATTTCCTAATGCCGAGAATTGGCTTTTGTGCAATTTACAGTCCTCGGGTACTTAAAAATAATTTGAAATCTGAAGTGTTGCTGCATTTCCGATAACTCCGAAATGCGAAATAAATGGCCACACACAAGGAGGCGGTCTACTAAAAGATATTACCATGTTCAAATGGCACAACAAAATAGTATTTGCAGCTCAAAACAACGTCATTTTATATATAGTGTGCAATACAGTCACTTGAAGGATATTCCATGCAGAGTTATTACAGAATTAACTTGGAATTATAAATCTTATTGTGGATTTTCAATACCTGGAGCAAGCTTATTAAACTCTAAGGAATCTTGAATTGATAATAATAAATTACAGATAAAGGAAGGCCTGAATCAAAGCAGAAGCTAAATTTCAATGAATTTAATAGCCGGATTACCACCCATTAAAGTCGGGCTTGTCGCCTGGCCCGCAGCCACTATTGAAAGTTGAGCCGGGCTGCCATGTCACAGATTAAATTCGCATTCCATTACATACTCTGTGTGGATTTCACTGCGTAACGCAGTGGAAAACTAAACTCGGGGCTAACAACTGTCGAGGTGTCCCAGCAACGTGTGCTGCTGTCGGACAAAACTATCGAACGGAAAACAGAAAAGCCATCAGCCTGATTTGTACCCCCAAACAGTACCGTGTGCAGGATATGGTATAAAAATCCGTCCGACATTCAGACAACAAAAAAAGAGTGAGACACTAAAGCGGGCAAACTTTTTGAATATTTAGCAAAAATGTCAGCGCACAAAAGCGAAGTAGGATAACTGACCGAATCCATTTCGGATCAAAAAAAAAAAAAAAAAAGAAGAAAATAGTGGTGCTATGTGGAGCACGAAGAGAGCCGCAGGACTTTATCCCTGCCGGGCCCTGGCGGGAAAATGTGAAAATATTTTTGGCCCTGTCACAACATCCGGCATGCCATCTCCTGCCAGCTGAAGTCGGTTAGGAGTTCCAGCTCTTGGGAGTTCTCCAAAGAGGTCTGAGTTGCCGCCTTCAGCGGATACTTGAAAATACCAGAATCACAAGCACGCTGCTGAAATGAATTGTTTGCGAGCAATTATTATTTGACAAGCGTTTTAATGATTCCAGCCAGTTAGGAGCGTAATTAGAGAGTCTTTGCCGGCAGACCATAGCCACGGAAGAAGGAGCGCCTCGGATCGGTTGCAGTGGCAATTATAATTTCAATTTTACGATTTTTCAAGTACGAGAGTTTCCTACAGCCAAAGGCGCTCTGCAGCTTTCGCTGCTTTTGGTGCTCCCCAGCATTTTCCTTGTTCCGCCTCCAGTTTCCCCCTCCACTCCTCCCGTTGCACTTGCAATTGTCTGACTTTTGTTTATGCCAGTTGTGTGCTCCGAAGTGCTTAGTTTTAATTCCAGGACGAAGACAAAGAAAACGAAACTGTGTACAAACAGTCGAGGTGGAAATAATTGCAATGGAGTTTTGTCCGCAAAATGAAAACAAATGGCATCTAAGAAGTTGAGTATATTTATTTTTTAAAGTCACTCCTCGGTGTTTTTGATTCTTGAAATTTCTGGAAACGATTTCCCAATTTTTCGAACTTATTTAAGGTGTTTATTATAGTAAATTATTTTTTGCTAATACGTTAACCATAGCTGTATAGGTAAGGTCCCATTTCGAGCTCATTTGTGGAAGCTGGTCATACTTAATTGGGGCTTGTGTTGCTCCAAATGAGTTTTTCCTCCCCAGTGCCACGTGAGAGATTATGAAGTATGTTTATACTACAATTCAGCACAACAATAGAGTTGTGTTGTTTTCTTAAAGATGTACCACTTTATCATTAGCACAAAAACCAGGATAATCAAACGACTTCACGTGCCTGAAATGGATTCCGTTTCCGATTTCCTTTCTCGCCCGAAAGCCGATTCGATTTGATTTGATTTCTCTTCTGGCTGCTGTGTCAAACGTGTTGGAATCCCGACCCCAATCCCGCCCTGCCCGTTCTTTTCCCCAAAAACACATTGGAAAACATTTACATTTGCTCCGATTCGTGCTCGTTAACAAAAGATACATATGTATCTCGTAGATGCTGCTGGCTTTTGTGCGCCGTGCGCGAAATGTGCTCGGAGTTTTTCTGATTCCCTCCGCTTGGTTAGTTCTAAATGCCAAATTTTCAATGCAGCACACATCATCCCGCCGCCGAGGACATGTGCTCACCTGTATCCGTACCTGGGTATCTCCTCAGAGAGCGAGGGTGTAATCACTTGTACTTAATATGCAGATGATGACAATGTGACAATCAAACCGATTCCAGGTCGAAAGATACTTCTGCCACGGCATTCCTGCCTCTCGTCCCCGCCTGATGTTATGCGAATCGGATTATTATTATCATTGTTATCGTTATCGTAAAAAGCAAAGGCAAAATGCGCATTGGGCACCCCGCCTCTCCCCAGCCTTTTCATCTGCGTTCCTTTGAGTGCGCAGATTTGCCCGAGGCATAAACGCATTAGACCTCTCCTCTGTCGGCACTTTGAATCCTAAAAAGGCAATTTGTTTGCATTATGATTTTTATCTTTCTGTTCGAATTGTTTGTTTTCATTTCGAATTGCTAATGCAAAATAGAATACAAAGGCAGTTCCGTATGTGAAGGAAGTTATGGAAGTTGGGGATTAAACTCGTCTCTAGGATAAACATTTTTGTTTAAAAATAAGTTTAAATTTGTATGGTTATTTGCGCGTTATGAAATCAGTTTTAAGCATTTACTTTAACTCTTTAAAGTTGCATTCCCTCCGAAAGGCAGCGTAAGTGGTGGCCTTAATCAAGCGGTGGTTAATCTCATTTATTACGTATCCGACCGAGTGTCAGAAGCCATTCCGATGCTAAAAAGAGTATACTTTTTCCGCGCATTCTCGCCAATTCCAGCCAGTATGTGTGCATTCGTGGCGGTCATTTCGTTTGGAAAATGCACATTTTCATCTGGCATGTGTTAATGCACTGAGTGGGCGGGCGCAGGGCGGCATGCAGCCGAGTTTGTGGCATAACTTCATAAAAATGCCAACCGGTTGCACCACAAGATTTACTGCAGCCGGCTGCAAAAAGGCTCAAAACGAAAAAGGAAAGAGAAATGGCGGAGGAAACCAAACCGTTGTTGCCAGTCAAAAGTTTGGCTGCGATAAATGGACTGACGAACGCGAAAGGATAACAGCAGGATACATCGTTCAGGAATACAAATGTGGGCAGCATGTTTGTTTTTCTCCAATTTGTAGCTGCCCTTTTGCGTTTTTGTTCTATGACATTGTTTTTCGGCGAGAACACACTCGAGGCATAAAAGCTGGGGAAAAAACGGAAAGCGTAGCAGGGGTGCGTCGGCTCGTGCTGGGGTCCTCAGCATTTTAACCGAAATGCAACAGGAGGCCGCGTGTTAATGCTGAAAAAAGGACAACAAACCAAGGACCCTTTTACAGAAAAGTGGCAGAGTCGTGACGAACTCTGAACTCAGTGGGGGAGAAAGAGCGAGAGGGAAGCAGGGGGGGAGCTGCCAGCTGGATGCCGCGGTCACTTTTCATGCATTCTGCTGAGCCTTTTCAGATCCCTTTTTCCATTTTCCCCAATCCGGATTCGAGGGACGGGGCTGGCCACCAATGTCTGGGTCTGAAAGTCACGCGCTGAATTAAATGCCCAGCCAATGCCCCCGAAAACGAGGCGTGTCAATGACTCTGGGTCACCAAATCCGAATCCTCGCATCTCGCTGATTGCCCCACAAAATTGGAGCGCAAAGTTTTGGCATTTCACTTTCGATTTTGTTACCCATACGCCCCCTTGCACGCAGAGTATAGATTGATAGATTGATAGAAATTTGTGGCTGCCCAATCCAGAATCAGGAAACCGCAAGGCACTGCTTGCCGAAAAATATAAACATTAATTGAATTATTATTATTATTAATAAGGGTTTACAATTGTTGTTTATATTATATTAAGTGTCATAAAATATATGTATAATTTTCTAAACCATTTCAAGTGAAATTTAGAGCTTAATCTTGTATGTATGAAATCCATTTGTGTTTCATCTCCGTCCTCCAAGCACATAATTTTTGCGGGAACTTAATTAGAATTTCGCTGGGTTTGTATGTTGGTCTTGTTTGCCGCCGGTGCCCGCATGTGTTGCGCAAATTTAATTGCTGAACAAAGCCGCAAAATAGACAAAACAAAAGCTGTTGGCCGCACCGCCTCCTCAGCCTGGCAGCATCGAGAACAATTCGTAAGGAGTTGTAGTGGAACACGAAGACAAGACACAGATTTCTGCCGAAAAACAGAGCGCAGAATACAGAACACAAGAGCCCGCAGAGGCATTCACAGACTGCGAAGGCAATTTCAACTTTTCCCAGTGTGTACTTAATGGAAAATGACTTTATTGTAAGCTGGCTTGGAGTCCCCTAAGCGCCAATTTTCAACACTTGTGCTATTTTGTGCAACACCCTCTAAGCTGGCTGAAAATGTAAAGAATTACAAAATTCAGAGAGTTTTCCACAAAAAAAAGTATTTTATTTAAAGATCCCTTTCTGGCGGGAAGCACGACTCCAAGTTATGGATATAGGCGACCAATGTTTTGTTATTGTTGTCGGGGAAGACCTTTCCTAAAAACTCCAAAAGTTCTGGCTGATTTTGAACCGTTTCGGAGTATTCCTCATAGCTTATAACGCCATCTTTATCATTGTCAAATTTTCGGAATAAAAATTCGCACATATCCTGCTCGGGCACAGATTAGTTGATACGATGGCATTTGTTATGCTCTACTTACCGCCCGGAGTTCGTTGACCTCGTCGTCGTCGTCGCCGCTGAAGAACTTTTCAATAGCCAAGCCGACCACCTCACGATTTAAGACCAACGTACCACCGCTTGTATACACCTAATAATTATAAATAATAACAATACAAAGTTACCATGTGGTGTGGCACTCACATTATATGCAAATTTAATTCGTTCCTGCAAATTTCCGGTGAAAAACACGGAGAACAGCCTCATCCAGGACTCGGGGGAAATGGAGCGGCCGTCCTGCGTGATGTTCATCGAAATGCGGTCGATGATGCTCACGTCGACTATCCCAAAGATGACGAGGAACAAGTTGTAGAGCTGATGGGAGGACATCACCCGGGCATTGTTGTTGAGGGCGTACTTGTAGAACACGATCAGCAGGCAGAGCACCTCGTTGTAGGAGAAGCCCGAGGAGGTGCTCATGGTCTTGATCAGGCCACTGTACATCGTGAGGAACTTGGTGTTGGCCATATCGTCCATGGTAAGGTCAATGCGATTCATTGTGGGATTATGAATAATACAAGTTTTTTTTTTTATTTTTTATTTTTTATATATTTTTATTGTAAAGGAATGTGTTGTTGTTGCGAGTGTGTCGGGAAAGTGATTAACGTGTGGGTCACAGGCCTACTTTAACCCGAGCTACAGGAGACAAATTGCAAATAGATTGGGGACTCAAGACGCCTCGGGAATGTAACGAGCGCAATTTAAAAGCAATAAAAACAACGCCGCGACATAAAAAATACATCAGCAGGGCTACACGGACTACATCTGTCCCACCATTTCGAATAAATATTTGAAACAAACCCGGCTGCACACAAAGGCTGGAACAGAGCAGAACAGGCAGAATGAATGGCTCAAACTGAAAGCTGTGCACATGAGAAACGCGAATATAATAATCCAAACAAAAGCGCCGAGATGGGTGTAAAGCCTTCCATGTGGAAATTCGGCGGAAATGGCTGTGTAGCCATTTTGTTTGGGGTAACAAATGTTCGGAATCTCCTCCTGCCCCTCCCTCTGTTGTGTAATTGTATGCCGCACAAACATGCCACGCCCCCCCAAATACCAAAGAAATGCGGAGGCGGCCCAACCGCTCGACACGGCATAATAACAATAAAATGAAAGGTAAAGAACGAGGGAAAAAAATAAGGAAAGGAGCGGCAAGGATTCACGCTCCTTAATGTCTCTGAAGTTGACATCGCCAAGTGTTGGCGGATTTACAAGCGAGTTGGGCTGGATTTTGGTATAGAGTTTTGATTGATACACTTTGCATTTGGTATTTGGAAGAGAATTACGACAGAAATTTGTTAAGCAAGACGAATTGTGGGGAAAGAATTTGGGACATTTTAATTTTGCTTAAAAGAGAAATTATACCCACAATTTAAAGAAAATGTAGAATAATCCAGTAAACATTATTTATGATTTTAAAGTTTTGATAGTTATGTAGAAACTATATGAAATTTATAAAAGTAGGCCAAGAGAATCATTATAACATATATAACATACATATACCAAATTGTTGAAGTCACATTAAAATATTGAACATCAGAAACTAGCAAACTAACCTTTTCCGATCGCATGTAATAAAATTTACTTTGGTTTTTTTTTTTAGTTAATAAATATAAGCCTGCAGGACACTGCAAAAGTAAATAAAAGAGAATTAAGACAATGGAAAATCTAGATACGACCTTAAGCAGAATGGAGAATAGTCGTTTTATCGCCCGTTATAGCAGCGCAATCAGAGAGATGGCAGCCAATTTGAAAATGTCCCTCCTGGAAATCACCTGTCTGGTACTCGTTTATTACAAGTTCGTTAAGTGCCAAGGACCCTCGGCCAAAATGATGAGGAAAAATCAGTTCTATGCGCTATACCTGGTCCTCTTTGACGTGACCGATATCCAGACCATCGAGCGCAGTTTGTTTGCCGTCACAAAGGATATGAAGTTCGTGAGTCCCGAGGCCTGGGTTCAGATCTTTAATCTCTATACAACGGATGACATCAATGTGCGTATGCGCTTTGCCTTCGAAGTAAGTGGAAATAGTTCGATAAACATCAATTCGGATGTCTTACGACCTGTTCACAGGTATATAACACTAAGGGCACTGGAGTCATCGATCGCGAACAGGTTGGCTTTGCCTGCGATAAGTTCTTTGAGGGCGAAGACGAAGATGAACTGAATGAGCTCAAAGCGGTTAGCAAAACCCTACGATTCTAACCTTTAACTTAACTAAATCACATATTGTTTTAGGACATGATTGAGTTTCTCATGAAGAAGTTCGACGTGGACAAGGATGGAGTTATTTCCTTCGAGGACTATTCATCGGTTGTGATCAAGCAGCCAATTTTGGTCGACTTCTTGGGCTGGTTATTTCCGTCTAAGTATGATTTGCAGCTAATGGCTCACGTCGTCAACTTTGATTCCATACTGAATGTTCAAGACTCGAAGTGAATATTTGTACCTTAAAATCATCTTTATCAGATATTTTCAAAGCTTTGAATGAAATGAAAACATAAAATTTAATAAAACCCCTAAAAGAGGGGCGTTATATTTTAAAAGTGTTTGTTTAAATTAGTTAAAAGTGATGCTGGTTAATCAAATCCTAAGCTCACCTCCGCTGCGGGCATTTGTGGCCGGTGTAGGGCCCTCGACCCAATTCCATGAATCCCGTAATTATACGCTCTCTGACAGCCGCACATACCACATATCGACAATGTGTGGATGGGATTCAGTGCCGGGTCGGAAGTGGAAGTCGGTTAAGTAGCTCATTAACTTCAATACGTTTGATTACATTACATACGGTTTGGTGCGGCATTCAAGCCAAACAATTTGAGAATTGTGTGCGGCTCTTTCTCATTCCTCCCTCCGCCACTGCGCTCAGCCATATCTGTTAATTTGCACAATTCAATCGGAATTTGCCAGTATTTGGGACATGGCTAAGCTCACGTATTTCCCATGATTTGGCATTTATGCAGTGGCACTATGTGATGCGAATTGATTTACATTAATAGCACCCAGCGGGAGCTTTAGTTCCATTAGTTTTATGCACTTCTCCCCGCTCCGAGGCTCGCCAGCCAGCTCTCGACATCAAAGCCAAGTTAGAGCAAGTTTTAATGTTTCGTTTAAAGTTGGAGATGGGTTAACAGAATCAACTTGCTGCAGTTGACAACTGCCAGGCTCCTAGCCCCATATCAACGCACTTGGCCAGCATGTGGCCCAGGGACTCGAGTCCTGAGCTGGCCCTTTGTTGAGCAGTCTGCCGTTGGCCAACATGTTTGAGTCTCGCTGGCATCAACATTAATTATCCCTGATAGTAATCATGCAATTTGTACGTGAGCCTGAGCCAGAGACGGAGCCAGACTTAGCGCTCCCCGGGCTATCGGCATCCATGCTGCGGTCTTTATTGTGGCATTAACGGCGCCATTCCAATACGGTCCGCATGGCCTGCAGCCTGGCAGCATCATTATGCTCATTATTGTCGTCAAAGCCGACCTGCCGGAGGTCCTGGGAACGGAATCGGGGGCCAGCGTATTCGGGACAAAGCGCGTCTGATGAATTGCATTAGGACATGTATGTAATTATAATCAATTAAGGCGGCTGGTCATGTGGTGCCCAGCTATTAACTCTCAATTTTAAGGCAACCTCAAGCTCAGGGTGGCGCAATTAATTTCGAATGTTAAGAGGAATCGCTTCAACATACCACAAACAGGAACCTAATAGGGTAGTAATAGTACCCACTTAAACTATACTTAAAACTGGGATCCCCTCCTAAGGACACATTAAAGAGACACCACAGTCTCCTTTTTAACAGTTCGTTGACAATCTTCGGCAATGGCGACAAGTGACTTTTGGGCTATCAATGGCCAAGGCAAGACAAACCGAGTTGGCTAAGCAAACAGACCATTTAGCTCAGTGGACAATGCAAACTTTGGTAGCAAACGGGGCGGAACAGTCGTGCTCGGTGCAATTTTCGATTAAAATTCCAGTTTGCAATTCAATTAAACACTAATTAAAAGACATTTTTCCGCCAAGCGTTCCCTTTGACAACTTGGCTCACTCAGTCCTACTCCCGCTCTATCTCCCCTTCTCATTCTCGATCCTGTTCCCGGGGAATGCTCCGTCTCAGGCCGGCCTCTCCCCGGGGATCTCGGGGCTGTCAAAGTGGCAGCGGATGCCGGGTCACCCACTCGGGATAAGGCAGCTCGACAAATGCGCACAAACTGTGATAAATGAAGGCGAATCGAGGGGCCAAAGGGCGGGGCATAATGAATGCCCTGAAAGGAGACGGAGATAAAACAGGAGAAACAAAAACAAATCGAAGGGAGGGGACGCCGGAGGAGCGGCAGGATCCAGGAAGAGGAGATTCCAGGAGGCTAAGGAATCAAAGCCAGGCATTTTTTTGCTGCATCTCTGCACCGGCTTTTGGCTTTGACTTTCTGTGGACAGTGTAAGCGAGTGAGTTAATTTCTGCCCAACTCAAAAGCTTCACGGAATTTGAGTTCGTTAAAGTAAATTTGACCGCCCACTTGCCACCCTGCCCACCGTATCCTCTTCCGGGTGGCGGCAACTACTTTGTGGCAAATTGAGAAGGGAACACAAACAAAACTGGTTAAAGGGCAAAGCGTTTGTCAATTATCTCCAGGGCAGAAGGGGGAAATGTGTGTTTTGTGCTCAAGTTTTTTTCGGGGAATCTCGAAGCGAGGAAAGCACTTTGAAATGTAAAGGTTGTAAAAGTTTTTGGTGTCTAGAACTTTAAAACGTGTTAATGAAAAAGGTAAAATTTGTTAAAGAACTAATTATATGCTTATTAATCATATATTAATTAATTTTAGCTTCCATTAAACTAACTAAATAACTTTATGACAAAGACTCAATCTCGTTGACTTACAACCTTTCACCCTGTTTTCCCTCACCCCAAGTCTCGCTATTTAACCCCATAATTATCAATTTTGCTTGCCAACCGACAAGGACTTCTGGAATCAATCAAAGGCATTCAGAACTTTTGCTAATTACCAGCAATTTTGTGGCAAATTCAGCAATGCGATACAAAAATGTCGGGGCAACTTGGCTCTAAGAGCCGAGCGCAGCTCAAAGTCAGGAGCCATCAAAGGCGGAGAAGGACTTGAAGCGCTTTCCATTATCCGCTTGGCTGTGCTCGTCAAAGCTCGCAGCGGATGCACTGGCGGATGCAAGTCCTGGCAGGACTCTCTACAGTGAGAAGCGGGGGTCGAAGAGAGGTCCTGGTCCTGGCTAGAAATATTGGATGGCAGCCTGTCGGAAACTGCTTAATTGCATCGCAACTCAATTATGCAACCCCCTGCCCGCTCCCTCGACTTTTACGGACACGAACTTGACACCGAACTGGGTTAAAATGGCTTTGTGTATCTTTTCGTTGCCGGCTTAACTGCATATCATTATGATAAAAGTTCGAGTCATAGTCGGTGCTTTGCCGCCACAATTCTGTGTTCCATCGACCTTCAGTTTTATTTGTTTTTTGGTTGCTCTTGCAATTGCGGGTTTTTCTCTGAGCGCACTGAGTCCGGCTAATGCCATAATCCGATTTGGGATTGAAAATTCATAGAATTTTCATAAAAAGAAGGGAAAGGCAAAAGGAGCGAACCAGAACGAAAACAAAAAGAAACCCATACACACAAATAATAATTGCCAGGACGTGGTTGCCAGCGCGAACATAAAAAAATAAAACTCGGCACGGACGTGATACTCGATGGGAAAATGCGGAAGCGGGTCCGCATAAATTTTAAACTAATTACAATTTCACTGTCCGGCATATACCCACACCCACACACACATTTCAACAATCAATGCCAAGAGCATAACAATAACAAAAAATACAACAATACCCACATGTGGGGAGTAAAGTCAGGTGAGGTTTCAAAAATAGGATATTTTCTATTCTCTGTAAGGCAAAGTCATTTTAAGAAAGGTTGCACTTAGCGAAATCAATAATCAATCGATTATATTTATTAAACCACAATTATTTATTATTTATTTATTTTCTTAAATTGTTCATTGGAAGCTAAAGACATGGAATCCCATTAGAGTCGAATATATCTTTCAGAAAGGGTACAAATTACTGATTTTAGTGAGTGCTCTTAAAAGCTGTGACATTTCGGGAGGGGAGAAGACCTCCCAGGACCTCGTTCTCTCTGTGTGTGTTTGGGCTTTTGGCTTTCTGCTGTTAAACCCATTTGGTGGGCCCCGAACGCCGTCTGCTCGACCACAGTGAAAACTCATTAATTTATTCTTCGTTTCGTTTGTTGAACTTAAAATAACAGCGTTAATCCGCTTAGCGCTGCCATTCAACTAAAAACAACGACGGGAACAACAGCTGTAGAAGGCTTCTCAACGAGCTCTCCACTTTGTGGTGCACTGAAAAAAAAAGAATTTTACTTTAAAGTTAATAGATTTTTATTATTATTATTATTATAAATAAATTATCCGCAATTACAAAGTGTGGATAATTTTGTTTTTTTTGTTAAGCAATAGCTACAATGGCCTTCTGCTTAAGTTATACATTTGCTATATAATAGATTTAATTGAGGTTCTGATTCATGTTTCAAACTAGTAATAAAAAAAAAAAACAAAGTATCAACCAAATAAGCATTTCCTGTTATTATAAATTAAAAATATTAATGCTTGGACCTACTTCAACTTTTTCAAGTGTGTCCCCCTCTAGCTGTGTTTCTGTCTCTCTCTCTGGCTTTGTTTTTGTCTCTTTCTCTTGCCGTTTTCCCGCCTGTTTCACTGGCTGTGTCTGTGCAATCAGCGGACTGCGGTTTCCACTGACAATGACGGTGGCGACGAGGATGACGATGACAGTGACAATGTCGCGCCGCCTACAAACAAAATGAATTAAGGAAACCGCAATGACATAGTTACAGTGGCAAACACTCCTTCCATACACACCCATACACACACCGACCACATATCCATAAATGTGTGTGGGGCTGCTCTCAAGTTTTAAGCTGACTTCAAGTTGTTGGCAAACTGTGGGACAAGAAGTCAAGTAATGACCCCAAAGCCAATGGAGGAAGCACTTCGCAGCGGATTCGACTTGCATGCAAGTAAAACTTTAATCCTCCTGAAATAAATTTCCGGAAATTCGTTAGGCTTTCCCATGGCTGATATTGATATGGTACCAATACGTACCACGTTCCGAAGGCCACAAGCAACGGAGGCTGGGGACTCAGGTTGGGGCATTGTTTTTATGCAAAGCTATAAACAAATCTGCAAACACCCACACGAGCGGCAAATATCTATATTTATATCTACGGCTATACGTACAGACATATATGGGTATATATGTGAGCATCATCTTTGCTTTGGGTCTGGCCAACAACTCAATGCGCATAATTTCGTTTTTCCTCGTCTACTTCCTTGACTTCCTTAGACCCCAACTCTCGAGTCTCCTAAGACAATCGAAATTCGATAATATTCGGCACACACAGAACCAAAAAAAATAAGAAAGGAAGCGATGGGGCTGTAACCGAAGACAGAGCCGCAGGACACACAAATGGGTCAGCCAAAGGAGCAAGCC